TGATCTTCTCATCTTTTCACCTAAACGGAGACAATTTGACTTTAGTGTAGCACTTACCGGCGTCACTGCTGATGGCGTTTCTCCCTGTAAAAACACCTCAGTTCCCTCTCTCTCTGTGTCTCTCTCGCTCTCTCAGATTGCTCTCCTCGGAATGGTGATTTTTGAATAAAAACCGCACAGCTGCCCAGGAACCTGTGTAGAGAATACCCCCACCCCCATTATCAGCTCACTGCTGCTGTTTTAATAAACACAGGACTGTGTATACATTTGCTCTGTTTGACCCTCAACGTCAAATTCGTATTATCTGTAGTTACACTCTGGTCGTGTTATTCGTGATATTAAAACCGGTTTGTTTGTTTTTATTTGGTAACTGCATTTGTGCATAACAATTTCATGCATGGACTGTAGATATTTCAATCCATATTTTGTGTTTTGTGAGAACGTGAGAAAAATATCGATGAGGTTGCGATAGATTTTGTCGTCCTTAGATCTGTGCTCTACTAGTTGAGTCTGAGAAGCGGGACAGAAGCTATCCGGCGTGTTAGTGTTTTAGCGTATTAATGGGTTATTAACATAAACTTTATAGACAGACAGTTATTTTATGATTACTTTTTTGCTCGTGTTTATGTAACATAATACTCAACAACTAAAACCGCGGGACGTTTAAATGTGTTTAGACTTTATTTTTCAAGTTAGCTCCAGGATGGCTAATCAGAGCCGCATCACTGAGACGTCTGTGTGGAACCCTTGAGCATGCTTTTAAGAGAAGGCAAAACATTTTACCCAGCGTTGCCGCGTCCACGTCTCCACCATGGCAGAGAAAAACAACAGAAAGAAACTGAAGCACAGGGGTAAAGGATCTGCCACAGCTGGGACTTCTGCCAGTGCTGCCCCCGCTTCAACGACTCCCATCACTAGCTTCTTCAGTAGACAGCCTCCATCTAAGTTGCCTTGCCCTCTGTGTGGCCAGCTGGTACCAAGATTCAAGATCAATGAGCATATTGATCTACAGTGTCTGAACTTTGACAGAGGAGACAGCAGCATTGCCGCCTCAGCAGACAGAAGTGTTGTGCCAAGCATGCAGCTGTCACCCAGGAGGAGTTCCACAAAGTCCCCAGAGTGGGATCGAAGTAGGGGAGAGGAGGTGGAAGAGAACCAGACCAGTCCTTATTTCAAAAAGAATAACCTTCAGCAGGGACCACAAGAAATTAAGAACAAAACTGTAGTCAGGACACTTGACCTGGGACGTCTCTCTTCAAAGTTATCCAGAAGATTTAAAACTGCAGAGGAAAAGACACAGACTGACTTGGAAGATGCAGAAACACATCTGAAAAAGGAAGCAGACACTTCTGAAACACTTGGCAGCTCACAGAAAGAAAATGTACTTCTTCAAAGTTCAGAAGATCAAATGTCTGCAACAGTCTGTGACAAGTCAACAGCAAGTCCTGAGACAGCAGTGGGGCGTGAACTTAACTCAGAACAAGGACATGAACCTAAACAAAAAGGCCTTACACAAAATATTTTCCAAATGCAGGATAATCCAAAGTTACACTCTCCCTCCTCTAAACTAACAAAGAGGAAACAGGAAAAATCCTTCAATGGCAAAGAATATGAATCCAGCAAAAAGGCAAAATTTGATAGAAGAATGAAGATGGATGAGGTTTTACCAAAGATAAATGATACAAACAAGACTGAAACTGCTGAGTTGTTAACCACCGCACGTGAACCTTCGCTGACGCAGGATGAGATTCATGACATAAGTGCTGCTGTCCTCAAGAGTGATTCACTGCCAGAGTTTTCCCAACAAACCACCAGTGACCACAGTGCTGAGAGCATTAATACCCAGCGGCTTCCATACTACCTCAACAACTTCCATACTGTGTTACAGGCCGTACTGGAGAATGAAGATGACAAGGCTTTGTTCAATGAGGAGGATATGTCCTTTGTGCATGCATTTGAGAAGCTATCAGGTATACCATGGGTTTGCTAAATTGTGTGATTGTGTACATTAAGCTTGAGTGTTCAAATGTGTTTCATCTGCCAAAAAAGTACCAGGACAGAAGCTGTATGTGAGGCTCTTTCAGAGGAAACTGAAGTGGCTTCAAGTTAATAAACTGGATTATGGAGAGATATGCAGTGATCTGACACCTGTTGTTGAGGAGCTGGTTCAAAGTGGTCTTCTACAGACAGGTAAAAACAATATAAACCCTCTTAATATTCAATTTATATTTATTAATTCTGAATTATATATAAGTCAGTTTGTGAGGGATAATTGTGTACATTTATTGATATTGATATACTATAGGGAGAAGAAATTGTCTTCTCAGGTTTATGAATTAACTAACTAATTAACTAATTTTTTTTTTTTTTTTAAGAGAATGATCTTGAAGACCTGGTAGAAGCTCTAGACCTTCTTCCTGCTCCTGATCTCAAAGCCTTGGCTAAAATCTTTCATCTGAGCAGTTCAGGGACACAGAAACAGCAGCTCGTTAAAGGACTCCTTCATCTAAGCAAACAAAAATCATTTTTTTCACTGGGCGCTGCCCAAAACACTAGGACTGTCATACTGAAAAGGTAAGATTGTTATTGCCATGTTTATATTTGCAGAACTAAAAAAAGATCTCACACAGGTGCTTTTTACCTTCAAAGGGCGAAGCAGTTTGCAGGTTCCTGTGTGCGGCTGTGTCGTGGTCCTCGTGTGGTCTTTTCTCGTATCCTTCTGCTGTTTTCTCTTACGGACACTATGGAGGAGGAGGAGATGGCGGCTGGTGGCCAGAGTCAACTTTACACCATACTACTAGTCAACTCAGGACGTCTGGCCTTTCCTGACTACAAAGTTCAACGTGAGGCCAAAGTGTTCCAGGGCCGAGAAGACCTGATCCGGTGAGGATCTGCAAAGAGAAAGACACATTTAGAATTTTTCTCTGAAGAATATTTCTTCTAATTCCAACAATTTTTCCAGATATGAAGCAGCAATGCGATCTCTGCAAGACGTCACCATAGCAATGCAGGCCGGACAGTGGGAGGAGGCTTTAGAGCTTTACACCGTGTCAAAAAATGTTTGGAAGGAGTTGAAGGAAAACCATGACTACAGGTAAATACTATCGGTCATTTGCTTCATTTTTCATTTAACAACAATACTCTGTTTTTGACAATAGCCATGAGAAAGAGCTGCCTGTGTACCTGCGCAGCTTCACTACAGGATGGTCATACACTCGCCTGTTGTCCAGAGGGGTCGAGATCTTGCAGAGGCTGCGTAAATATGAGGTTTAATGGCTTTAAATTCTCTTACAAACCTAACCTTTTATGAAGTGAGTCATAAAGCAGAAAGAAAATTGATTTTTGTGTGTGTTAAAGGAAGCAGTGGTAGAGCTTCAGGCCTTATTGTGTCAGTCTGAGTACTGTCTAGACAGTCGAGGACGATGGTGGGACAGACTGGCTCTCAATCTTCAGCAGCACCTCAAAAAAGCTGAGCAGGTGAGCAACAGCTTTTATGGTTATCATTTACCCTCTGATTTATGTGGTTGTGAATTTCCCTTTTAACTACTGCTTTTTTCACCACACACAGGCCATCCATGCCATTAAGGACGGTCTTTCAGACCCTCTGGTACGAACAGGAACTAAACTGTCTCTGCATCAGAGAGCAGTTAGGATGAAAGAGTCTGCCAGTTTCAAGAAGTATCGTTTGAAACTTAAAGACTTACCTACTATACATGTCCAAGATGTCAAACATGTAAGTTTGATATGAAACCTTTAGAGACAAATATAAGCCCTTAAGATGTAATTAAAAAAAACCTTTTTCTACACCAAACATTTTTAACACATCACTTTGGAGAAAATACTATAATTAAGGAAGCTTACAATATAACATAATTCATGGACCTCAAGGAGTCAAATTATTCTACAATGTTTTAAAAAAATATCATGGTCAAATGAATATCCTCTTGATAAACAAACCTGTTTCAGGCCACAGCACGACCAAAGATACTGTATATAATACTGCAAACTTTAGTGCTCACCATAAGGGGCAACTCAGGAGACTTTTAAGGTATTTCCAAAACAAAATGCCAGTCAGTTATAAAAGCTTTTTAAATGAAAGTGGTATTTTCAAACAGTCTGTGTTAACACTGTAATGTACAGCATTGAGTTGTACTTCTTACCTTTATTGTTTTTACTGATCTCTAGGTAACAATCCGAGGCCAACTGTTCCCTCATGAGGGAGGAATGGGAAAATCCAGATTTCTTCTACAGGCGAATAATGAAGGGCTGGCCGGTAGTAATACGACAGTCATATGCTCCGTGGAAGAACTGTCTTTAGCACATTATCGCCAACAAGGTTTTGACCAAGGTGAACGTCCTTCCTTCTCAACTTTAAAGAAAAAACAAAACCAAAGAAACACTTTATTATAAAACAGTTGATTCTGTCCTGACCAGGAATCCATGGTGAAGGCTCAACGTTTTCCACATTGTTTGGCCTTTTGCTGTGGGATATCATTTTTATGGAAGGTATTCCAGATGTTTTCCGAAACCCATTCCAGGTACTGTAACACGAACCATTATTTTAGTTTTTTTTAGTGTTCTGCATCTAAACAGATTTAACTGGCATTTGTTTTCACACACAGACCTGTCCACTGGATCTTTACACTGACTGCTTCTATAAAAACAGAAAGGATGCTATTGATTCACGGATACAGTTACTCAGTGAGGCTTCTGTGGAAACACTGCACAGCATGTTGGAGGAAGTGTGGACCTCACAGCAGGGTAAAGTGTGCTCATTGGTCAACTGGGAGCTTTTCTCATCGCTTCAACACGCACAGGTATTTACTTTAACCCTGAAAATTCGAATCAAGGTGACTCTTTATTTTTGTGTTGTCAATTATCTAACTTTAAATAACAATATCAAAATTGTATCTATCAACCTAATTATTACATTGGAATACATGTACTTGTTTGAGAAAGATGGGTAGATTTGAAAAAAAAATTCTGAACTCTCTCATTTACAATTCCTGAAGATTTCTTTGTTGATATAACTGGTATAACTTGGTGAAAAAACAAAAACTTCCCCAGGGTTTATGTGACCTTATATTGAACTACAATTTCACCTTTTGGCACAAGAGTTACTTAAACTGTAAAGTACAGACTTAAGCCCAATAAAACGTATGTTGGGAGACCTAAAGATAGAAGCTTGCAGCTCACATTATCATGTGCAAGAGCTCGGCAGGATCTGCCAAATCCAATTGGACAAAGCTTCTAGACTCACCCAAGATGACACGGGCTGATAACTTATAGCAAACAAACAACCCCTGTGTCCTAAATAAGAGATCAATACAATATTCTGTCAATGAAACAAAGACACCTCTAATGTCATACTGATGGTGATGACATAAACTGTATTAACTCATTTCCACAGTCTCTGGTGTCGTGCCTGGGTGGAGGCTTCACAGGAGGAGTGATAGCCAGGATGTCAAAGGACTATAGACACTGTCGTGGAGGTTTGCCTGATCTGGTGGTTTGGAACACCACAGAAAACACCTACAAGGTGGGATGTGTTCATTTGTGTGCGTATAAACCTGCGTATGTTATGTTGTGCACTGATATTTATTTTGAATTGCAATGAATTAGCAGCATAGAGGATTCTAACATGTGCTGCTTTCTTATAGCTTGTGGAGGTGAAGGGCCCCAATGACCGACTTTCACAGAAACAACAGATCTGGTTGGATGAGCTGCAGAAACTGGGGGCGGATGTGGAAGTGTGTCACGTGGTGGCTTCCGGGGCGAGAGGGGCTCATCTTGACTAATGTGACGCAGGCAAACTTGGCGATGACATTGTGGCAAATAAATATGCAATGTAAGAAAAATTAAAATATCAACAGACAAATGGAAAATGGTAGTAAGCATTTATCGCAAAGCGTACTGGTAATTGGATCAAGTAATAACAGGTATTTATTAAAAACTCTACTATGCCCAGTAAATTGAGTCGATTCTAGCTCAGGTTGTTTGACATGAAGTTTGTACGGTGAGTTTGATGTAAGGATGTGGTGTGTCGTGAGGGGATCATCACTCAGTTCTGCCATGATCAGAAATAGTCCACAGATGATCAGAGCCAATGCCTGACAGGAAATTAACCATCCACCACACCAACCTGATGGTGTTTCCACCTCTCATCTCACACTGTATTTGCAGGAACCTCGGGTTGCCAGGCAACATAAACATTTTGTTGGCTGCTTGTAAATTGTATGACAAGTCTGAGTTATGCAAGTAATTACTGTGATAATGTAGCTATAAATATTCAATTTTGTTTGCACTAATCTTACAGAATAAACAGCACTTTCTGGTTTAAAAAAAAGATTTAGGGCTGGCTAATTATGTTTTTCTTCTTGTTAAGTAAATGTTGTCATTATCTAAAAAAAGATTATTGTATAAAACGTAATTTATTATTATTTAGTTTATGGTTATTTTATAATAATGAAGTGTTTAGTTTATGATTACGTTGTGAAATATAACATCCATTTATGTCAGGATTTATCTTGTGTGGTATTAACTGAAAATGTATTCTCCAGAAAGACATCCTCTGAACTTAATTAAAGGTACTACTGAAGCACAAGGAGGAATATTACCAGTAACAGAGAATTATGTATGACCAAACTTACAATTATGAATCCTGGAGCATGGAACTGATGTAATTTGGAGCTATTTGGACTATTTGCAAAATGCAAGCTGTAACCTAGGAGAAGCAATAAAGTGAAACACTTTATATTACCCACACTTTTATTTTTATTCTTTTATAAAAGATGGGAATAAATGTAAATGACATTTGATCATTTAAAACTTACAAAAGCTCTATTTTAAATCCATAAGTTAGTCACAACTAGTTAGCCTTGAAGAATTTAGGTGAAAACTGGTCTCCACTGTTGCATCTGACTTTGCTTGTCAGATGATTCTTTCAAATATATTAATCTATTTTTATGCAGTTGCTTAAGTATATAATAAAACTATGATATATTTATGGTAATGTATTTGTTTTTTGGTGCCCAACCTTAATTAAACTTGTATTACCACAAAGATCCTCCGCTGGGCCGCGACCCAGAGTATGGCGTTCACTTATCTATTCCAGGGTGTTTTCACACTGGGATCATGACCGCTTTTGGGGGAAGGGATGTCGGGCTGGCCTGCGTATGACGTCAGGACGCAGGGGGAGAGAGGAGGATAGAGAGAGGGAGAGGGAGGCGATGAGCGGAAGCTGCAATAAACACACAGGGCGTCTGCGCCTGTCTTAAGTAGGACAATAAAGTGAAAAGGGTTTCAATGCTCTAACAATGGATTTGTCAGATATGCTTCTCCTCCAACTTTTCCTCTTCGTCTATTTACTGAACTACACCCAAGGTGAGTGAGGCATGTTGATAGAAAAGCGTAGACCGCTGTGTAGGAACGCTGAAGCCGCAGCTGAGCAGCAGAAGCCCGTTAGCTCAGGGGGGATGAGAGTGCGGCCTGCTTGTTGTGAACACAACTGCACCCTTTTTATCGTCTCACTTCAGCTTTAAAAACCACACACACCACACAGTGTAACTGGGCTGCTCCGGCTTGTTAGAACTGAGCGGTGACTCCGTGTCGTTGCCGTGCGCTGTCACAGCTTTCCCTCTCGGTTGTTGGTAGGTTTTTGTTGTTACCGACCGAAAAGCAGCGACAGCCATTGTTATGTGAAGATGGAGATGCCGACTGAGCTGAAGGACCGTTAGCTTTGTGCTAACACCTCAGCCTATAACGCCGTTAAAATGAGGTGTAAATGTCAGATTCATTCCTTTAAGACTGTTTACAGTACCCGAGGTAGAACTCTTCATTAATTCATTTCGCGTTACAGTTTCGTAGTTACTGCTCTGCTACTGTATTTGGGTCCGCTATGGATCTTTTCCCAGTGTTTTTGTTTATGCTGGGATTAAACGCATCGATTAAAGCTTCCCGGTGACAGACTCACAAGAAGCATACGAGTTGAATAATAAGTTTAGTTTTGTTTAATACAATTTAACGAACATTTTATGTGATATACAGTTTAGTGAAAAGGTGTGATCTTTGTCGATTTGGTAGTGCACCGTTTAGTCTGATATCTAGACTAATCGACTACAAATTGGTCGATAGTGAACATTTTCATAGTCAAATAAAAGTTTTCAAAGAAAAAGATATATAAATATATACAGTTACCTTTAGGTAAACTCAATGTATTTGATTGGTACAGAAGAACAAAACATTCCAGGAACACATCCAGATACATTTCAGACAAACCCAATTGACATTTTTCACAATGACTAAATAATTTACAGTTATCATCTATTTCCCAATTACATCAAGTTAAAAATTAAATAAAAGAAAATTGGCTGTTGAGTATGGAAAAAGTTGTATTTGGACATGTATTTTTTCTAAACAAAAGATTCTTAAAATAATCTGATCATGTTGATTCAACATTTGCTAGTAAGACATCCAAAAGTTGGTAGTTTATTTAGATACAATCCCAAGCAGATAAGTAGATGGCAACTTGACTGTCTGAAATGATCTGAAATGACTGTCTGACTGAGCGCTCTGACTTATTCCACTCGGAGTACTATGGGTGTCAGCATTTTAGGTGAACAAAACCTTTTAACATTCATATTAAAATACAAACATGGCCGACCTAGATAGTATTTGAATTGTATTTAACAGGATACATTTGTCATGCTCATGAATTAAACAGAGAAAGAAAAAACTATTTGCATTCTTACTAAAACACAGCTAAAATATATATTCAGTGTATTTGCTAAACTAACTAAACTAACTTGTCTTTACAAAAGATTGAACAAATATCATCCATTTATGTAAACGTGTTATTTAAACATTTATTTATTTATGAAATGCATATCTAACCATTGTTTTTTTTTTTTTTTTGCAATCTGCTAGATCTTAGTAAAGTCAGGGTCGATCGATTTGCCTCAACTTCGCTAGTGGGACCTTGAGTGGGATTTCAGTCCACTTTAGACCAGTTTTCTGTAACGTACCATTAAGACGGTGATAACAGTAAATTTTGTTGTATATCCTTGATGATGATCAACAAGAAAAGAACAGGCCAGTACGGATGTACAGTGATTGTATTGGTGCACAGCCTCAATTTCTGGTAATGAAAATTATATATTAGAGAAAAATATATGTATGTTAATGCTGTCAAACCTATGTGCTTTTGTTACAGTAGCAACCTTATGAGATACAGTCATGTTCAAGTTGTGCTACAAATGTGATTAAAACACTTAATTAGAAAATATAACATCAATTAAAAATATTGAGTATTGCTTCTACAGGCTGGAAGGAAAATAATTTAACCTGACCTGTAATTACAGCAGAACAATGGAAAGACAAAGACTCTCCTAAAACAAAGCTTCATTTCCTCTCTCCGTGTAAACAACTCTGCTCATCTTTTTGGTCTCCATCCTGAGAGCCATAGAATTGTTAATTCTCCTGTCCCAAGTCTTATGACTTTTTTTTCTATTTCTTTTTAATATAAAAACATTACATGTACATTGAGCAGGGGTAAACATGTTATACAATACTTGACATTAAAACTGTACCTTCATCAGTGTTTGGTAGGTGGACTAGACTGGGAAAAAGTGCATCTTAAGGTGTTGGACACTAGTTTGTGAGTCAAATTAAAGTGATTACCTCCACACTTACATTACAAGAACCTTGGTAGTGTGATAGTATCAGTATTAATTTTATACTACTGTTGTTGAACATATACCCCAGTGTTACACTAGTGCTGACTGTTCTATAGTACAGTTAAAACAATATAAAAGCAAATAAATATGTGTATATATATTGTCCAAGGCTATAAACAGGATAAAATGTTACTATACTATACTATACTTACTAGTAAGGGATATGGTACTCTTAACATTTACACCAGGGCAGCGAAGGGAGTAAGGGATATGGTACTCTTAACATTTCCACAGCTGTACAGAGAACAAAAGAAAGTGTTTAATTAATCCATGTCACAAAATGTGGAAAACGGGTTTTGATATTCAGTCAAATGTCAAGCATGCTTTTGTTTTTGCAAAATTATTTCCACAAATACCATAACAAAAGTCACAGCCCTAATCATAACAGCAGTGAAGTGAAATCAGTTTTCAGGTCATTTTTGGCAGAATTTATATTCAGTCTTCATCGCATCAACCTTCTTAGCAGAATTGTCAAATCACTTCCTCACAGATTTGTATGTTTATGGTAATGAAGGATTATATGGATTAATATAAGCAACATTGCTGGTGTATTTCATTTAACCCTTGAGTAGATTTATGTATTTCCAAGTAGTTGTGGCCTTTGCTTCTCATAGTCACCCCCATAAAATATGTATTGGTACCACATCAATATTTCAACACACACATGACCGTAGAAGTATCTTAAGCTTGATCCACTCACTTTACTGCTTTAATTTGTTTTATTATATCCTGTAATTTATGGGTAGCTGTTAAGGTGAAATTACCTAAATGCAAATCTTTCATTAATTATATTCACAAAATAATCTCTGTGTATTTATACAATTTCAATAATCCTGGTGTGCAGTGGTTATTAGACATAAACGAAACAATAATTGAAGGATTGTTTGACTGCAATCCACTGTTTTATTTAAAATCTGCCTAGAATAACACACACTGTGATACCAAGAGTGTTGTAACACATTTTTTGTCTAATATATTTTAGTGCACTGAATTCTCACCAGTTTTTGTTTTAATTTTTTTTATTTCACACAGGACACTACAAAAATCCCTTGAACAAGTACATCCGTCACTATGAAGGCCTGTCCTACGACACTGAGCTTGTGCACAGCAAGCACCAGAGAGCCAAGAGGGCGCTCTCTCACGAAGACAAGTTCATTCATTTAGACTTTCACGCCCATGGAAGGTTGGTCATTTTGACTTTTCTGTTTCTTTCTGTTTTTAAAGGACATTTAGGTGTGACACATCTCCTCCAAAAGAAGGCATGAAACATAATAGTGAAAAGCTGCATATTTTGTGTTCTATAAGACCTTTGAATTTGAACAGACTCTTTGAGGGCAAGCTGAACTGTTAACCTTCCCTCTATTTAGTATTGGTGTTGGTTTTGCTCAGTACAGATGAGATAAGAACTAGATAGAATACTAATAGAGATAAGAACTGTTTTGCACCACAGACAATTTTAAATAAGACACTTCTTTCAAAGATCTTTATGTGTTGGTAAGATTATTGTCAAAACAGAAAATTCAATTCCACAGAGGGATGTTTGAAATATGGATAGGTATTTTTTGTGCTTCAGATTATTCCACCTTGATTTTAAACCAGGGCACCCATGAAGTTTTATGTTGACACTGAGACCATCTTGATGTGTCATGGTGAGGGCAGTGGTGGCTGAGTGGTTAAGGAAGCAGACTTGGGTACGGACGGCTCCTGGTTTGTGTCCACCAGCTGTCAAGTTACCACTGAGGTGCCCTGAGCATGGCACCGTCTCCACACACTGCTCCCTTTATAAGCTGCCCACTGTTCACTTTGGTGATGGGTTAAAAACAGAGGTCACATTTCGTTGTGTGTGCAGTGGTGAGCTGTGTCACAATGACAAATAATTCACTTTCACTTTACGTTCAGCATTTTTTTTTAATGAATCAATAGTTAATAAAAGTGGAATAATGTTTCTTACTATGCAGCCCAGCATTAAATATGACAGGGCCTGGTACTGTTTCACGGCCCAGTGGTCTTGCCATCAGAATGCAGTTTAACTGTATTATCTGATTAAAAAAAACTAAATAGAATGACTCTAGACTAAATGTGGAGAAAATATATAACCACACCACAGAGAACAAATGGACTCCTGACCAACTGTAGTTGTACATTTGTTTTTTTACCCAATATGTTTCTTTTACATTACTGCATGTAGATGTTACCCCACATTATTACTGATTTTTGTATAAATTAAATCCACATTGGAATGGTCTTTTAGGCTTAAGCCATTTACAATTTCAATTACTAGGTTTTTTTTTATTTTCACAGATTCCTTTTTTCACACCCACACACAGATTCACATACACACTGGCACAAGAACAAAAAACACACAGAAATGTGTAAAAACTAATTAAAAATGTTTGTTCCTGTGAACAGTCATGGTGTCAGTGTGTATTTTAATTCAGAACAAGGGAAACCAGAGCCTGTTTGGACTTAATCACAGGGGACACATCAAGGGTTCATCCAATGTCGGGTGTGAACAGTGCAGCTGACTGTTTGGATGCAATCTGATCACTGCTCATGGACTTGTCTCCCCAGTGTTGCAGGGGGGGACACATGAAGTCCTTGTCTTGGTTTTTCTCATCCAGCCATTTGAAGAGGTGGTGTTATTTTATAGGAAGTGCCCACACTCTCCACGACAAAGTCAAGACCATCTGGCTGGGAGCTTGGCAAGAGCTGTTTATCATCCTGCCTTTAGCAGGGCCTGCTGTTCTCAGACTGGTGGTGTTTAATAGGCAAGAGAAAGATTACAGCTTAGCAAACAGGCTCGTGGAAGGATGACATGTGCTCCTTTGCACCTCAAATTCACACATTTGTATCTTAAAATAGGCCAAATAGGTATGAACAGAATTAATAGACAAGGCTGGAGCTCCTGGTGCTTTTCTAATTTCATATGTTGTATATTTCCCCAGAGACAGAGTTAAAAAAAGCAGTCAGAGGGGAGGCCTTCAACAACACATGTCAGAGTCACAGTAAAGCTATAAATGTGCATCTAGATGATTAGTACATACTAATATAACAGCTTGGCTTCTAACATTACAAATTAAAATGTTCCTAAATGTAATAAGACTTCCTCTAACCGCAAGAGGTTTGACTTGAGTGCTTTAAGGCTGTCTGATGAAAAATAGTTTTAGGAACAAAAGTTTGTGTGTGAAGTCAGGCCAGTAGGGGTTTCATTAGCTGTAATTCTCATGCAATGAGCTATGTACAAATGAACACACAGCATGGGCATAAAATACGACATTGTGTGGGTGTTACATGAAACCCAGGTGGACTGTAAACTCTTTGTTTCTCTGCCAAGTGTCTCAGTTTTTGACAAAAACACCACTGTTATAAAAAGGCCTGATTTTCAATTTCCCTTCTAAAAGATAAAAGCCTTATTTTTTTCCCTTCCTGTTCAGTCATACCAAAATAGCCTTGTTTTCATGCTTTTCTAATTTAACATTTTTTTGTGACTTGTACACATTTCTTCATTCAGTATCTCAGTACATCAATATATTTAAATTTTAAAAATGAGTTTTGATGCTCAACCTTTTATGTTTCAGGTTCATTTTAACACCCTATGCTTTTGTCTGTCATGTTTCATTTTAGGCAATTTAATTTAAGAATGAAGAGAGATACCACGTTGTTTGCCCAGGATTTAAAGGTGGAAGTTTCGGGAGAAGAGATTCCATATGATACAGCTCATATCTACTCTGGGGAAATTTTTGGTGAGCCCAAATGTCCATTTTCAGATCATTCTTTCTATGTAGTTTTTAATGAGTTCAAAGTTAGGTATGTTGCTCCATAACTGAGGAATACTACTGTCACTGCACTAATACTGGCACCGCCAGCACAGTGACTGTGTCACAATTTCTGCAAACAATGATAAAGTTCAAGCCGCATTTGGACTTTCAACACCAGAAGTAAAGAGGAGACTGAGGCTTTGGGGGAATTGTGCAATTGTCTCACATTGGAAGCCTAATCTGTTCACACACACACGCACACACACTCTTGTATTGTATTGACTGTCTTCCTATTAAATAGATCTATATTTACAGCACATATATCAACTTCTATTGAAGAAGCCCTGGATCTAAGGATTAAGACTTGTTTGAGTTTTACACAGCCCTATTATCAAGTAATTATGTTCAAAACCAGGAAACCACTACAATCTGCTGTAACTTCAGGTGCAGGGAAAGCGCTTGTCTATTTTTTGACAAAACCTCTAACACATTTTTTATTATCTCAGGTGAGAAAGGCACCCTGACTCATGGGTCAATTGTGGATGGTAAGTTTGAAGGCTTCATCCAGAGCTACCAGGGAACCTACTATGTGGAGCCTGTCGAAAGATACATGGAGGGCAAAGATGTGCCCTTTCACTCCGTCATCTACCATGAAGACGACATACGTGAGTTCCCGCTGCTCCAGATAAAGGAATGTTTGACGGCATTTTTCCTCTGGTGTCATTATTGGATGCATATAAAGTCTTAATCAGTAGGCTGTAAGTGTGGAGCTGTTGAGTTGATGGAGACGCTCTGGTATAATTACCACCCAGAGAGCAGAGGCACCTGAGGTGCTCATTAGATGAGTAACACAGTGTAATCACCAAACCCACCTTACTGCTCTGACACTACTGGAAAACTGTAATTCCAAATAATCTTTGAACATCTAGTGCAAGGCCAAGAGGGCGAATTAAATAGAAATGTGTGAATAGAATCGCCAATGTTATCAACAGCTTACACAGCAGAGCTGGGCTCAAGTGGCGTGTAAGTACATCCAGTAGCTGATCATGAATAGAGCCTGAAATAGAGTGACTCAGAGGGTTAAGTCACAAACAATGTCTCCCATAATCCTAACAGTGTTGTGTCTGCCTCTTCCCAACTCAGACTACCCACACAAGTACGGCCCAGAGGGAGGCTGCGCTGATGGCTCTGTGTTTGAAAAGATGAAGAAGTACCAGGCCTCGGCTGTAGAGGAACCACACGAGGTGAAGCACACAACATGCAGAACAATGAGTCCTCACAGTGGTAAAGAAAGAGTCATTATTTTAGGAGGTGGGGTTTTTATTTTTGCAAAGTGTAGGAGATATCCGTGGAAGTCTTTTTTTTTTTTTTTTTATCCCCATGAAGTTACAGGGGCGGGCGAGAAAAGCCTTTTTAGTTGTAATTAAGGGGTGTTGGGGGGGGGGTTTTTTTTTTTGCAAAGTGGAGGGGAAATCCTGGGAGGTTTTTTTTTTTTTTTTTTTTTTTTATGCCCATGAAGTTACAGAGGCTGGCGAGAATAGCCTGTCTAGTTGTAATTAATGGCTGACTGCATGATGAATTAGTGGCTGAGCTGTACATGAGGAACACTGCTGTGGAACTCGGCTGAAAGTTTTATAGGCCATTCTAAGGTGACATTAAATACACCGGTGACAGGGTTCTGCTTGAAAATATAAAAGTAAAACCTGCAAGTAGGGTTGTCCCAATATAATTTATTCACTGAACAAAATGAGTTTGCATGTTTTCAATCTCACTATGACTTCATGTGTTTGAGTTTTCAAGAGATATGCAATGAGCTGGAAGGCAGTGTTGTATAAAGAGATCAATTGCAAATCCATTATCTCCTGCTTTCCAGTAAACAAAGTGTCACTTCATCTGTTTCCATGCTTCAAATGTACACAATACTGTTTAAAAAGAAGTCTGCAGTAACCCTCTTGTCACTCCAACGTGTCATGAAAGTGAATAGACGCGTACGCATCTTCAGGTCACCCAGGTCCGATAACAGAACAAATTAGATTGTAAGCCTTGCTCCTGTTTTTGTCCCTGATGGTAAATGACCTCCAAACTGGTAAGGGCAATGGGACACTGAACTGCAGTGGGTAAATTGTTGTTACCGATAGCAAAGCAGTTCACAGCAGTAGTAGATAAATAAAGTCATCTTTAGCTGCAGTTTTCCTTCAGGTGACGCGGTTTGCTTCATACCAAATTTAATTTTCCATTTTCATTTCATACACAGACTAACGATGAAAAACTATTCACCACTGCAGTCATTATTAAATGGAAGGTTCTTTCATTTTCACAAATATAAATCAACTTGTTGACAGTGCATTTGGAAGAGCAGTGTATGTAAATTAAAATGCATATGAATTATTATTTCCGTTGTGCCATGAATTATTTAACTATTCCTTAAATGCCTTTTCCCACCACCTTCATGTGACACGTGCTGGTCCACAGCCCAGATTTTCTTTTGAACTTGCATCCTAAAAATACCGCCTATTACTTATTTACCCACATTTGAAAACGCTGTATTTTTATATATATATTTAAGTGTGTGCCTGCTTCCCTTCGCTCCTGTGTCACTCAGGAGGAGCTCCATTATTCAGCTAACTCAAATGGACCTGTGCTGCTGAGAAGGAAGAGGATGGCCCAGGCCGAGAGGAACACCTGCCAGCTTTTCATTCAAACTGATCACCTCTTCTACAAGTATTACAAGACCAGAGAGGCGGTCATTGCTCAGGTAGTAACCAGTTAGCTTTGTTCACTTCAACCATGCAGCACAGTAGCTATGGAGTTATTTTACCTGGTAGAGCTACACAGGCACATCACCTTATATTTATTACACAGAGGGGAATATTGACAGCTTAAGTTATCCCGGGGGTCTTTAACACTTTTCTCAAACCGGAGCGATGGAGTCCCTGATGTATATATTATATACAATTGTCTATTCAACTGGGCCCACTACCATGTCTCACTCTGCCTTGTTATTTTTCAATACCGAGCTTATGAAATATTGCACAGTGTTATTGTTTTTAGTGTAAATTGTTGGCGATACGGTGAGGAGGCCAGCTGCAGCATTGCCTTTTATAGACACACCTTGTCAACTCATACCATTGCTAATATCACACATTCCAGTTACATAAAAAGCCATTCATTTATACAAGCTATTGGAAGTGTTTTATCTCACCAAAAGTTTCATAAACCTACTGCAGTACCTCAGCAGACACCTAGGGGTGTCTGCAACTCAGGTGTTTTGTATAAAGCTACTAATCAAAAACTGAATGAATCTAATGGTCTGTGGTACTGTTCTATTCCCAGATCTCCAGTCATGTCCGAGCCATCGATGCCATCTACCAGGGCACTGACTTCATGGGCATTCGCAACATCAGCTTCATGGTGAAAAGGATCAGAGTGAGTCTTCTCTTCATACAAACCAGTATTACTGGTAACACATGCTCCTGTTTCTAAGCTCTTCTCTGATGATCTTCACAGATAAACACCACCATTGATGAAAGAGACAAGTCCAACCCATTCCGCTTCTCTAACATCGGTGTGGAGAAGTTCCTGGAACTGAACTCGGAGCAGAACCATGACGACTACTGCTTGGCGTATGTTTTCACTGACAGAGATTTTGACGACGGCGTGTTGGGCTTGGCCTGGGTTGGAGCTCCATCAGGTATTTAATCAGCTACTGCAAACTGACATCATTGTTATGATTCTGTTTAGGTATAAACTAAGAAACAGATGGGGATTTTAAAATATTTACCAACCTTTAATTCTCCTGTAGCAATTTTAGTCTTAGTTTAATATACAATTATTCTAGGAAACCAGAACCAGAATTTTGCAAGAATTGTTTTTCTGTTATGAGTAAAATCATTTAAAGCTTCTCAGCTGTGGATTCAAAAAAGTTTTGTTCCAACCTGTGCTTTATCTCTTTCAGGAAGTTCTGGCGGCATCTGTGAAAAAAGCAAGCTCTATTCAGATGGAAAAAAGAAGTCTCTCAACACTGGAATAATCACTGTACAAAACTACGCTTCCCACGTTCCCCCTAAAGTCTCCCATATCACATTTGCACATGAAGTAGGACACAACTTTGGCTCTCCTGTGAGTTCCTTGGATGTTCTGCCTTTTTTCTTTTACAGTGAGATTTATGACGGGCTTCTACATCATTTTCTTCTTTTAACCTGTTTTCATCTTCTTCTTCTTCTTCTTTCCCCTCTCACTCGCAGCACGACTCTGGTTCTGAGTGCACCCCGGGAGAATCCAAAAGCCAAGACAAGAAAGAAAAAGGCAATTATATAATGTATGCCAGAGCTACATCAGGAGATAAGCTCAACAACAATAAGTTCTCCATCTGCAGTGTTCGCAACATCAGCCAGGTGCTGGAAAAGAAGAGGAACAACTGCTTTGTGGGTGCGTTTAACGTCTTTGAGCTTTCACTTTTAAATACAGCTGAGTTTAATTCATGGGATAGAATTCACACACAAGTCACTGGGGGAGTGACTTTTGCAGGGTGAGTGAGTTTAGGAGCACTGACACACACGCAGCAGAGGCGCCAAATGAAAATGTTTCTCATTCATAATGTATAAGGCAGCGGTTAGCGTTGCCAAATTGCATTACTGATCTGTTGCATCGCTTTTTCTTTTGCCCTTACATGTGGCAGTAAGATGAAAAAATTTTCAATTTTCCAAGTGTCGGAGTGTCCAATCACTCTATGCAAATATTCCAGTGCTGACTTTAGCCAATCAAAACACAGTTCACGGTAGAAAATGGAGGGAATGCAAATGGCAGCGGTTGGCAGCCACCCAGTTCTTTATGACTGAAGTTCTTTTCAGGACATTAAGCAGAGGAAACAGATCTGGAGAGGAGGCAGAGGCATTGAGTCAGCCTGGAATGTGTCAGCTGCTGAAGGTTGTGTCTGGGTTGCAGGTTGACTTAAAATGGAAATAATACTCCTTAGCTTTTTTTTTGTTATCACTCTATGCGGTGTTTCAAGGAAGTAGTTTATCTAGTCACAGAAATGCAAATTGTATAGCAAAAAAAAATTATAAAAATTCAAAGGCAACATTTTACAGTGACAGAATGAGGTAAAGGCAGAAAGAAACAGCTTAGAATTGCCTGTATTGATTTTTCCCCGCAATGCTAGTATTTTAGTATTAAGCAATATTAAAGAAATGTGTGCATGATTTAGAAAAATGTTCATATTCAGAGTCTGAGTCCACCTTATTATTGGGAAAGTAAACATTAGAACATGCAAAAAAAAAATTACAAGTAACTCTTTTTTTAAGGCCTTAATTCGTGTGTACAGTAAAACTCCGTGTCTCATTATGTTTACTAGGGTTGTCTGATATTAACCTTATGCTAATATCTCATATGCCAATGTCCAAATACTTAATTTCCTATTGTGATATAAACCGGTACTAATATATGCAGCCGTTTGCCCCCAAAACTGAGGTAAACGTCTCAGGATCCTACAAGCATTTACAGCACATTTGGCAAAGTCCACGACCCACTAATTCATCATGTCAATTTACCATCATTTCCAAAAAAAAAATCTAAAATATTTTTTTCTCCATCACCATCACATTTATCATCATTTTAAAGGATTTGTCTTTGTTTTTTAATTAGAAACTAACATAAAAGGTTTGGTTCGTCTCTATCGTCAGCTGTTCAAACCTCTGAGCCTTCAACCTTTTTTATATCTTCTCCAAACAGAGTCTGGGCAGCCCATCTGTGGAAACGGCCTGGTGGAGCCTGGAGAGGACTGTGACTGTGGCTACAGTGATCAGTGTAGAGATCAGTGCTGCTACGACGCCAACCAGCCTGACAATAAGAAATGCAAGTTAAAGCCCAGCAAAGTCTGCAGGTACACACTGGTGTTGTTATGTAACAGCAAACGAACAGTTTGATTTGGGATCATTTCATTACCAACACTTGTCTCCCCTCCCTCCTCCCACCAGTCCCAGCCAGGGTCCCTGCTGTAACGCTGACTGCACTCACAAAGGTCGTAATGAGAAATGCAGAGAGGAGTCAGAGTGCGCTCACCAGGGCATGTGTAACGGGATCAGTGCTCAGTGTCCAACGTCTGAGCCCAAAGCCAACTTCACCGCCTGCCACGGAGATACTCAAGTCTGCCTGAATGGAGTGAGTGTCCAAACATAATCAGAGTTAAACAGCTTCATGTTCTTAAGTGACAGTCTGACCTCACCTGTCCCCGTGCTCCGTCTGACAGGGCTGCTCCGGCTCCATCTGTGAGAAGTACGGGCTGGAGGCGTGTACCTGTGCCAGCCTGGATGGCAAGGACGAGACTGAGCTGTGCCACGTGTGCTGCATGGAGAAGAGTAAATCACGTTTCCTGATCTCAGCTTTTCCCCCTGACAATCTCGCTCATAACAATGTGTTTCCTGTTTCTGCTCCGTCTCCTCAGTGAATCCTAACACCTGCAGCAGCACAGGATCGGAGCGCCTGGCTCGATTCTTCAATAAAAAAGTCACCACGCTGCCAGCAGGTTCACCTTGCAATGACTTCAAGGGCTACTGCGACGTGTTCATGAAATGTCGTCTCGTGGACGCAGATGGACCTTTGGCCAGGCTAAAGAAGGCCATCTTTAACCCAGAGCTCTACGAGAACATCGCAGAGTGGATTGTGGTATGTGTGCCGTCTTCTGGGCAGTGATCACACAATTGATTAAGAACGTGAGGCGTTGTTTTTTTAATTAAGTCTTCCTCTCCCAATTTCTCCTGCAGGCCCACTGGTGGGCAGTGCTGCTGATGGGTATTGCCCTCATCATGCTCATGGCGGGATTCATTAAGATCTGTAGTGTTCACACACCCAGCAGTAACCCTAAACTTCCCCCTCCAAAACCACTTCCAGGTGAGTCTTTGTAACATTAACATGACAGACAAAGATCAGGCTCAGTTGCACTTTGGCAAAGTCGTACTTTCTGCAGAAGTCCCCTAGTGGACGTCTGATGTAATTGACGTCACCTGCCCACTTCAGAATATGGAGATACCTAAGCAGTTAAACACAGTGATTTTTTTTGCATGACAGTGAACTACTGTATCTCCTCCCTAATATTTGGCCCTAACAGACCACCATGTTGACCAATCAGCACTGACTAACATGGTTCAGCTAGGTACAAAAGAGACTTTGAACCAGTGATGTCGAAGATCATAAAACTAGCCCTGAGATGGTTGGCTCAGCAGTCCAGTGTATGACCCACCAACAGTCACCAACAGAGTTCTGTTTGCAACCAGTGGCGTTCACTGCCTTGTGTCAACAGTTTGCCTCCATATGCCCCGCCCCCTCCTTATTCCTCCATTGTTGTTGAGGACAGTGTTGAACATTCAGACTCACTCTGGCCATGTCTTCACAGGGACTTTGAAGAGGCGTCGAGCGCAGCAGCACGCCAGCTCCCAGGTGCAGCACCAGTCTCAGCACGGTCACGGCGGCCACGGAGGGCACGGCGGCCAGCGGCAGGGTCAGAGGCAACCTCAACGACAGGCTCAGCCCCAGAGGCACCACCGTCAGCCCAGAGAGAACTATCAGATGGGCCAGATGAGACGCTGAGACGCCGACCTACACCTCCCCTCAATGCCTTGGCTCCTCCTCGTGCCTACAGTGGGAAACAAACGCGTCACTCCATCCAAAGAAAAGCCTGATTATGGTTGTTGGCCACCACCATATCCTCCATGTACAGACACAGCAGACGCGTGGAAAAGAGAAAGTACACTTTCTAACAACTCAATCGGCTCTTTGTGGAGTAGACTGGACCATCAGCCATTTCCAATGCAGTGTGATTTATTTTTACTTTTTTTTCCTCTTGATTTTGAAGGAGTGCCAAGGAGTTAAGGAGTAATGTGTAGCTTTAGTACAATGTGTAATGTGACTTTTTTTTTCCTTTTTTTTTATTTGGTAACATCTCCTTGAGTGAAACACTCGTGGCTGTCGGTAAAATAGTCTTTGCTTCTTTTTGCCATTCAAGCCAGAAATGAGAGACACTCGGAGGGGATTTTGCGGCACTTTTGTGTTTGTTTGTTTGTTTTTCCACAGACACAGGCTCCAGTGTCTCGTGCAGACGCTCTTCTGCATGTGATTGTAAATATTTAGTGTATCATAAGTGAAAACAAACTATTTCTTCTACTGTAAATGTGTAATTCTTCACTCTTTCTTTTCTTCAATGTTCTTTTTTTGGTTAGTGCTCTCAGGACTCTGTATCACATAAATTATGGAGCAGTGGTGACGGGGAGCTCTGTGGACACTCGTCTCCAGTCGTCCAGTCAGGAGGCTCCCCCCCTCTCTCTCTCTTTCTCTTTCTCTTTCTCTCTCACCCACAGAGGGTCTGGGTTCAGATTTGAACGACGTAACCATATCCCACATTTTTGGACCTGCTCTGGTTGAAGCCCATGTTTTTTATTTCTCCTCTCCACTTGTCTTGCTAACATCATGTTTAGTCATAACAAGCTGCATATAGAGTGGAAACGAAAATGGAAGCTATCCGGGTGAGAAAATGTTGTTGTTATTGTTTTTGTTTTTTTGTTGTTTTTTTTATGAGAGACGAACAAATATAACCACTAACTCAAGTGTTTGATTGATTCTAGCTGTTCAGCTTTGAAATGAAGGGACGGCGAAGTCTGCTGTGGCTTAGTGTAGAAGTTTCACACCAGTGTAGAAATAAATCTTAAAATGACTCCGGTGTGGATGTACAAAAAAAAAAATGAGAAAAAAAAATCTGAGAAATTTAAAAAACATTCTATTATGCTTTGACATAGAAACTCTAAGAACTTTAACATGTGAGCATGCAGACACTTTTTTTTAAATGATAATTAATTGTTGACTTTAAATTGACCCAGGTCTGTACTGTTTGTATGTCACTCACCACTAGTTACTTTTTAATTTTTGACAGCTATAAATGTGAGTCTTAAACAAGCAGAAGTCTGAGTGTAACACTGCAGTATTGTCTCTCTAACACAGTCCTGTGTGTGTGTGTGTGTACGTTAGTTGCTCTCAGTCAGAGTTGATCACGAGAATGAAGCGTCCAGTGGGTCTTCACATCAGCCTGCCATGAAACTACACACACAGAACACACGTTAGTGCATCAGGAGCCGTTCTATACACAGGACCTGGAGGCATGACGTGTTGGTGCAGTTCCTCTGCACGAACCCACTTCCAGAAGATGTGACCATGACATTTACACTACGTTTTGCCCCAACTTTATTCTTTGCCACAGCATTTCTACATTTAATGCATGCACTACTCATCTCCAGCAGTATTTGAGAAGACTGTCTTGAAGATACACACACACACTTGAATCTCACAATAAATTTACATTCATTTCACCATAAACGGAGCCTTTTCTGAATTTCACCCGGCGTCAGGCCGAGACGATTTCAGTGTAAACTTGTACAGTATGTGATGAAAAAGACATTTTGATACATCAGTTTGGGTTTGTTTTTGGGTTTTTTTTCTTTGTTTTCTAACTCCAGAGTGAACTGTTCAAAGATGTTCATATGTGACAAAAATTTCCTCTTCTCTAAGTTATTCATGTTCCTAAATGTGCTAGTTGAACTGGTTTCTGCTTCTGACGCTTTTTCTCCACTGTCATCAATGGTAAAAACAAGTCAGCGTGATGGACGTTAATGTCGACATTCTCATTTTTATCTTTGTTCTCCTGTGGCATGGTTTGGGTAGAAGAGCTGAAGAAAAACGCCTGTAAATTTCCTTTTCTTTTTAGTTTCCTAGTCTTGGTTTAAAATTAAAAAAAAAAAGTTTAGATGAACGTGCACTGAAAAAAGTCCAAATTGAGTTGAAATGTGATAGGTGATGTAAGCTGAAAGAACACAAGATTAAAAAGTAATACTACTGTCTGATTTTAATGTTCACTGTGTTTTATACAGTATCAGAAATTTTTGTTCACTTTGAACATTTTTACTAAAAAAAAAAATTTCAAATTGTATTGTGCAAAGAGATGTAATTTTTTGGAGTACTTGAAATGCATTAATTAAAAGACTCATTCAAAATAAAATGTTCCCCTGTTTACTGTCTGGAGAATGTGCAGTCTTTGGTCTTTATTTGATGCAGCTTAGGGCCAAGAATAAATAAATACATCCTTCACTTGGACTTAAAAGTTCCAGAGTTGAAAGTCTAATTATGAATGTTTGTTGAAGCCTAGCGAGGCCTCGGGAAGATGAAGACGCTGTCAGGCTGTAAACAAGCGTTCACAGTTGGCTGTAATACAATTAGAAACTCTGCTTTCACGGCTGATTATTCTTCTGTTTTTAAAACGGGACTGAAAAAACAAAATACATTAGAGCAAAATGTACCTGCACCTCTTTACACCCGAGGCTTAGGATTTACCAAATAGAACAGAATAAAATGTATTTATTTGTGTAAAAAAACAAAGGACAGTCCTACAGCAGAGAAGACAGAAAAGGAAATTGCTAAAATGACTTGTACTTTAAAAAGTAAAATACTTTTTTAAGGGATGCACAATAGGTGTATCCAGTGAACTATATATATATATATATATATAATTCTACAGGAACAGACCCTCCCCCTCAACTGTGTCCTCACTCCTCTCACCTGGTGCTCTGGGTAAACGAACCTTCTCTCCCTCTGTTTGTCTTTGTTGTGGTCTCTGTTGAAGTCGCCATTTGTTCTATCTTGTAGGTACAGTTACATACAGTTTTACTCTGCTTTGGTGTGAGTTAAGTTTTGTTCCTGTTATTAACGAACGAACTGAACTTTTCTGCCCACTCTCAGCAATGGAAGCTAAAAGTATGGCGAAAACTTTCTAAAGAAACATTTTAGTCGCAAATACATTTGATATCAAACTCCTGAAACCCTCATTATGTCGACTGCCATTAACATCTCATAGAAATAATTCATTAATTTAAAAGAAACATCGAACGACTGTATGATGCCTAACTTACAAAAGTGTTCATGTAGCTACTGAAGGTTTTCATATTGTTTGTTGGTGTAAACGAACTTGAACACAAACGTAATATCGCGACACTAATTCGTTGTATAACAAAGTGCTATATACAATTTGCAGGTCAGATAAGTTTAAAAAACACTAAAGAATTGTTTTTCTTTTTTCTTTTCTCCAACCAAAGCGCATCCGGTTGCATGCAGTAGCGGTGTGTCGACAGCAGAGGGAGCAGCTAAGTCGTGTCGTATCTGGATTTTCCATCAGTGACACTTCTATCCAGGTAAGTTCAATGACAACAACGAAGGTAAAAGAAACCACGTGTTCATGACAACAGAACGTCAGTATGACATGAACGCTATAATAAACGTATGTGGCTCTGTGACGGAGGTGAACTGCCCAGTCTGTAGCCCACCCTCACCCAATGATTGCTATCACTGCCACCCCTCCCTTTAACTTGTCATTTTAAGGATGAGATGACACAACATCCAGAAGGTGGCCTTGTTCAGTTACGTGTGACAGTGTGTGGATGTCGTCCACACACTGTCACACGTTACTGAACAAAGCCTTGACATTGATTTTCAATCCAGATCCTGACGTGTTGTCACTGACTGTCATGGATGTTCACAGTCACCGTGAGAGTTTCCTGCCTGATGACGGTAAACTGCTGTGTTCTGCCTTTGGTCGGGTTTTATTGTCATATTCAGTTTCCACAGTGGGTTTCCCCTCACTGGTCAGAGTTACCAGGCCTGGTCAACGTCATTCATGTAGAGCTGCTGACATCAGTGCTGATGAGTGAGCAGAAGCGTTTGTTTTCCCTCACAGTGGAAAACAGGCCCCAGGCTGCTGAGTTAACACGGGGTCTGACGACAGCTGACCCCGACGACTCAGAAACAACGAGTGGAAATACAGTGGAGACACTCACACGGGTCACCACTCACTGTCTCCGTCCATACAATGAGTGACTTCATGACAGCCACTGTCAGTGGGTTTAACTCAATGACTCAGACATGAAGTAGTCAAAAAGCTCTGAGTCAAGTATTTACCTATTTTAATAGGTATATCTTTTTATGAATATTTTTCTTACTAATACACATTAACATATATTTATATTTAATCTTAAGTCATCAGAATAGTCTCCTGTTTCCTGGTAGAAAACCGTGCTGGTTCTTTTCCTGGTCCTGGTTTAATCTCTACTGCTGTGTCATCATGACATCATTGAGACAAGAGCGTGTTGATGGAAACAGATGCTCACGTGCACCTGCACGTGCATTGATATCCAGTGTTGCTGACGTGTGTGTAAACTGTACATGACCGACAACGTGATTTACTGAAGCTCTGCCTCTGAGTTTCTTCACCTTCCCCTGGTCTGTGGTCTGATCTACAGACACCAGGAGGTTACAGACTTCATTAGTAACAATCCAGTATAAAACTGTCCTTATCATGACACTGTCACAGTCAAGTAGTTGAGTATCATACAGTGTATTTTCTCAATACTGTCCTGTAAAAATCTCAGTGTGCATTCTGATTTTGTTGTTGTTGTTGTTGTTGTTATCTCACCTCCAGAGCAGGAGAGAGGGCTCGGCTCATAATCACTTAAAGTTTAATTTCCCATGCATAACAAAATGTCTTCCACTGCGTTGAAGCACTGAAGTCTTCACCTGCTGTTCCAGACTAAAAACACATTGATATAAAAGGACATTACACTGATAAAGAGGACACATATATGCAGTAGTATTTTAGTTGTATTCCTCCTCTGCAGTCGGAAAAAATTGAACACAATTTAACCAATTATATATTAAAGTTAGTGATGATTACTGAAGGTTTTTTATTCTAGTCGCACCTTTTTTCTTTCACTTGAACAAAACATGAGACGTGAAGAAAACAGTTCTTTTCAAAATGTTTAATGTAGACAAAACAACAGAGATTCAAATAAAATACACACACACACACACACACACACACAAAACAACATGAAGAAAGATGTTGAACTAAAACCAACGTGCAGACGTCTTTATTCACAGTATTTCTGCATCTCACTGTTGTCTGTGCAGAGATGGAGTTATGGTGGAAGTGTGACCGCTGTGCTGCGTGTTTGTCATGTGACGTGACGGTACGGCAGTCGGACCAGTGAACTCAGTCTTGGATCTGAATGTGTGTGTATTTAACTCATGGTGATCATCTCGTATTTGTCCTTCAGACTCATGTCCTCATCCTCCTCTTCGTCTTCATCCTCCAACTCCTCCTCCACCTCCTCACCGTGGGGCCTCTCCCTATCGTCACGTGGGTGGTGCAGTTCAATGAGCAGGTAGTAGATGACAGCAGCGAGCACTCCTCCCACCATGGGCCCCGCCACAGGGATCCACCACCAGTAATCTCCAGTGCTGTGAAGAGACCAGGGTGAGAATGAAGACGGCAGTGAGTGGAGCTGCTGGTGCAGTGACAACTGCAGTTCACTGCACCACCTGCTGAGGTCAGTTGACTGTCGTAGTTGTTGGTTTCAAAAGAAGATAATGACATGAAGTCACTGTTGTTATTGACCACAGACGCACTAGCACTCTAATTAATCTGATCTAATTAAATACCGTTTTCCATAGTCATGCTAACATCAGCTAAGCTAAGTTCTAAACTTCCAGCAGGGCTGGTTTTACCCCACGAAGATCAGGGGTGTGTGCAGTTACCTAAACACCTCCATCCCCCATCCAGCCACAGCTGTGAACAGCCGTGGTCCCAGGTCTCTGGCAGGGTTCAGAGGGTAACCACAGTTCAGCCCCATGGACACGCCGATAGCCATGATAATCAGGCCGATGGCCAGAGGCTCCACGCCTTTAGGAGCTCCGATGTTTCCGCCGTCTATGATGGCCAGGATACACAGAACCAGCATCCCTGTGCCCACCACCTGGAACAACAACGTTAACACTGTTATCAGTATAAGAGCAGTCATAACATCACAAACTGTGATCTATATGGATGTCTTAATGTATAGATTTAAATAGTGTCACATTTAATCACAGCCATTTAGTTCATGAGTTCACACACTTTAAACAGAAAGCCGGCACACAAAACACCACGGAGAGAAAATGGTGCTGCATGTGTATAGATTTGAGCTTTTAGTCCAAAAATCAGGAAATGGGTTAATGCTCAAATAAAGTGAAGCCGTCCTGTGACTAAATGGGACGATCAATCTTTCATTAGCCACAAACGGTCAGACTTTGTGGTGATTAGACTCTAAAGTACACAGTTGGGGGGAGGTGGAGGTCTAGCTGTCATTAGAAGTCACCTGGTCGATGAAGCCCCCCAGCACTGACAGGTGTCTGGCGGGGTACGAGGCAAAAATGTGACCTGTGGCATTGATTCCTGTCACTGACAGAATTCCACTGGTGAAGTCCATGAACGCATCTGAGCAGAGGACACGAGGACAGAGTCTGGTTAAATGTAGACAACGGTATCTTTCCGCAAGGACAAACTGTAGAGATTTATGGACTAGTCACCATAGTATAATCCAAAAACCGCAGCAGCTCCTGAAAAGGCACCAAGAAACTGAGCAATGATGTAGAATGGAAACTTCCAGATCTTCAGTTTGCCCAGAATCACCATGGCCAGAGAGACAGCAGGGTTTACGTGTCCGCCTAAAAGAGAGGACAGGACAAAACCGAGTTTTTACTTTAGATTTTTCTTCAGTTTTAAATAATATACAAAGTTTATATCTGATGTTTGCATTTTCTCCTTTTTAAATACTTTCACTGTCCCTCTGACAGGATTCTAAGTTTCAGAAAAAACCCAGCAGTTGATGTTTCCACTTCAGTCGTACGTTTATCATCCTTTCTGCTCTAACATATTTACTTAAGTGACAGCTGATAAAACAGCCACTGGGGGCACCATTAGATAAATCATAGGAACAAACGTAATTAGTAAGTCAGGGTTAAAAACCTGTTCCAAAATGCAGGTCCTCATTCAACACTTTAGAACAGATCAGACAGTATCAGCGTCAGGTCCTCAGGTACCGTTTCTCTGCCGTGGTGATGCCTCTAATGTGTCCAGGGCAACTTTCAGTCTCTGTCTAACTTCTGATTTCTTGTCTCTTACCTGTTATTTGAAATGATCCTCAGGTTTATGTAGAGCTGAACCATAAAAACACAGAGGGTTAGTTTGGACTGTTATAATTTGGGGATTTTAGATTTTTGTTTTCTATATATACAAAGTCAAATAAAATGTCAAAGTTCAAACCCTTAGACTTAAACTAAAACTGTTATATTCTCCAGGTAAATCTATGAAAGACGGAACAAGAACTTTTTCACAGATTTAATCAAATGTTCATCAGATGCTTTTGTCCATTTCTTTTTTTCTTTTTAACACAGGCATCCTGTTCATCCTGTTCTCCATCACAAACAGTTGAACAAACCATGATCGATGGAGTTCGCAGGACATTTAGTGCCCATGGTTATGTTTGACCTGGAAGAGCCTGTGCACCACCACCAACAAATCAATAGTCAATACACATCCACTGGAGAGATGGCACGTTCCTGTTGACACTGCAGCTGTGGAGGTGACATCGTTGGACATAAAGTCATGAGGTTGTAGGATTGTGGCAAACATGTGCAGACAGCCTGTGTCTGACTGTTGTTTTACATGCATATCTAAAGTCTTTTAGTGTGTGGGTTTGAACAGGAGGTCAAATGACAGCAAAGTTACCGATGATAATTAGCTGAGTGAGACATTGAACATTTAGTCAGTGTTTGTTTTCTTATTTTTATATGTATTAGTGCCACCTCTCAAAGCTGTCGACAAAGAAGACGATGTAGAGACATGCACTTCTGTGGACATAAATAACATGGCGTTTACCTGACACTCCGCCGGCCACATACACTGCCATGGTCAGTCCTACGGAGAACCCGATGTGGACGGTGAGAGCTTCACCCAAGGTGTTTCTGCTGAGGACGGTTTGAGCCACTGATCCACAGCCGAACAACTGACCAATGGCAAGACATCAACAGGTATTTAGCTACACATCTGACATAACACATGGTAGGACTGTACTCAAAACAGTCATTGTGAGTGACAGTAAAAACAGTACCAGATAAGACTGAGGCAGAGAGAATCATGTGACACCTCACACTTGTCTCATATGAAAATCAGTCTACGTTGCACTGCACTTGTAATAATGTTTTAGGCATGTTGAGTCTGGTCTTTCACCATAGGTTTATATTTTTACAACTAGACTGCTCAGTTTTTCAGTTTCCTGAGCAACAGTGGTAATATTAAAATTCAAAAAAGTTTAGCTTAAACAAATTGCAATTATTTAATTTATACAAATTAAAAGTTTAAATAAACAAATTAAAAGTCTTACTTACAACCAAGATAAAAGTTCCCAGGAATTCTGCCAGGAATTCCTTGAGTATTCCATGTTTGAGAGCACAGTGTTTTCTCATGGTTCTCTTCTGTGATATTCCCACCTATCACTGTAAAACGTGATGATAAAAGTGTAGCCAGAACTCCTGCAGTGGGAACGCCAGGCACTGACCAGAGAGTTAAGAGTCAAATCCCAACCTCTGATCACATCCACTCAGCACAGACCATTGATCTGTTTCTACAAGCTCACAGCAGAGGCCAATCAACGGTAGATTAAATAAATAATAAATAAATAAGGTTTATCCTAAAATTAATATAGATTTTGTAACTAAATCATTTTGTTTATGCTTTTATGAACATTTTTTTTCTTTTATTGCAAGCCCACACTGGAAAACCTGAATACTAAAATATGCTTATCTTCATACTTGAACAAGAATATAGGAAGGTATTAAACCAGGACATGTAACTTCCTAATTAGATGTAACTAAACGTACACAAAGTACCTTTAAATGTAGTATGGTTTTAATATACCCACAAAAACAATTATAAACATGGTTATGCATTTTATTATGTTTTAATGTACTGTTTTAGTTTACAATTGGAGGTTTACATAAAACCAAAGCACACTGTGTTGGAATATAAGTTGTTTGAGTGAAAAAGTTAGAGCTTGTCACATATCTGTTGTAGTTTCACAAGTGGCCACGAGAGGTCAGCTCTGACCAAAAGCCACAAGGCTGGAAAAGTCCACACCTGAGTTGTTAATAACCAAAATAATTGAGTCAGTGATTCGTCAGTCAGAGCCGTAGTCGTCTCTGTCGTTGTCGTCCTCCTCCACAACCTTGATGACAGCGGAGGATTTCTTCTTACGCCTGGTAAGAAAAAAAAGTCAATATTTAAACGTGAGTGTATCCTAGCTACAAGCTTGGTGGCAGCGTGGGTCTGACACTCGCCTCATCTCACTCCTCAGTGTGTTCAGTTGACTGTGAAGCTGTTCATTGGCCTCTACTTGCTCGTCCAGATCTCTCTGCAGCCTCTTTTTACTGTGTTCCAGACGCTCGATCTCCTCTTCTGCCTCATCCATCTGTCTCTTTGCCGTCTTCAGTCTCTGAGTCAGCTGGGGAGAACAGAGAGGAGAGATGTGTTATTTTCCAGGCAGCAGATCTGCTGCTGCTCCATCAGCCTCGTCTCTTGGTATCAACATTTAAATACTACACAGACCTGGTCAGTCTGACTCTGCAGGTTGACGTGCTCCTCATCTGCCTGCATCTTCAGCTCCTTCACTTTGCGCTCCAGTCTGCGATTGGTTTGGTGAAGACTGTTTTTGTCTCTGGTGAGGAAAAAATCCATGAGATCACATCACTGTTACAACATCCTGTAACTCAACACCTTCAGGTTGTGTTTCTAACATTTCAAAACACAGGGTAAGTGACATGCACTTAAAGAACCAGATGGATCCATTATTCTGTATGTATTTTAAATGACGATTTCTTTTCGTTTTTAAACTGGCAGTACAAAGTGTTTATATAAATCTACAACATCTATAAAGAAAAACAGATACAGATAATACTGACTGTTCTTCTCCCTGCAGCCTCTCCTCCAGCTCATGGATGCGCAGGTTCAGCTTGGAGACCAGTGAATCCTGGGTGTTCCTCTGTGATCCTTCAAACTGTGAGACTCTGCTCTTTAAGTCTTTATTCTGTAAATACATGAATGAGTGAATGAATAAATGAATGAAAAAATAACAACAGAACTCTCAGATGAATGTCATAAACATTAGATAACTTTGGCCTCTGGTTTGAGTTGACTTTAGCTTCTGTGTTTAGTTCAACTAGACAGAGCTCAGTACCTGTTTCTCCAGACTCATCTTGTCACACTCCAGGTCCTGTATCATTGCTCTCTCCTGTGTCAGCTCGCTCCTCATCTGATCCACCTGTCACCGGTCACATGATAAAATGTCACATATCACACAATAATCCCACCCAGACAGCACAATTTGTTGCTAAGTTAACTAGATGTCAAATTTACCTATGGCATATTCTCTCCTGGTATTCAACCAGAAACATAAAAAGTGCAGCAGACAATGACCAGTTGTCACAGGGTTAAATGAAAAGCTTTCAGTTTGACCTTTTGAACCCAGAGGAAATACTGTCTGGCCTGTCTGAGCAGATCAGGCTTGTCCCTCTCTAATAACATCTAGAGGCCCAGGGAAGGGACCATGAAGAGATGCACACAATAGTTTGCTCTGATTTGTTATTCACTGCATCCAAAAACGGAGGGAATCCCTCTAACTCCACTGGGGTTAGCAGTTGGGAAAAGGATGGGTTTACCCAGGGATCTACGGTAAGGCAAACGGGGAACAAAAACACAATGACACACAACTAAAACAGTCATTTCTAATAATCAGTCTGCAGCATGCTTTCTTTCACATGACCTGAGGATAAGATGGTCTTAATCTTGACATCAACATTAAAATAAATATGTAGTCTCATTTTACTGTATTTACAAATTGAACATTAGTCAATAAAAACAGAACTTGTCAAGCAAGCCGGTCTGAACACACCAATCAGCCGCTTTCAAGGTCAGAGGGGAAATCTGAGCACTGAGCCGTACATCTGTTTATGATAAAAACAGACTGAGGGCTGGGTCCTCACACTGTGACCTGCATATTCTGTCAATGAGTGGCTGTTGTTAATATTTGCGACCAGAAAAAAAAGGAAAAAGAGTAGGGGTGTGAACCTGCCTGCTCTTTGGTTTTGTCTAAACGTTCCATCAGACAGTCAGCACTGCTGCGCTCGTCATTGAGATCTTCCACAAGGCGGCTGATTCGTCCCTGAGAAAAGAAGAGTGGGGGAAAAAAAGTGTCACACCACCAACAAGACAATCTGTAGTCACTAGGATAATCTATACCACAGGCTTCAGTCATAAAACAATGACAATATATATAAATATAGATATATCAAAACAAATAAAATACATACACAAAAATGACATGTAATTGAAACATACATATTTGAGCCACATACAAACCACCAGGACCAGGAGAACAGTGTGAAGCAGAAACACCCAGACTGGTCTGATAACTTCTCACAGTAAACAGGAGCTTTTCCTGGCTGATATGCAGTGTCAACAGTGAGTGTCTCCGTGCAATGTTTTGTCATCAGAAAAACAAACAGTGCTGAACAGTGACATAATGCTGCCTCTGCTTATTACACAGACCTGTAGGCCCAGGGGAATGTAAATAGTGTCTGTTGAACACTTCCAAACACTTAGTTGACTACATGTATTAATTACAGTTGAACAGTAGGGTACAGTGACTTTAGTATTATTGTCCTTTTCCCTGGGTAAAGGTTGATGCACCCCTACATTTACAAATACAGTTTCAGGGAGTGTACTTCAGGCTACAACTGAATGAGGTTTTCTTTGTGGGTTACTCAAACAAGTTACCTCCATTAGTTTGACCTGCCGCTCTCTTTCATCAACTGTGGCCACATTCTTCTCTTCCAGCTCCCTCACCTTCTGCTCCAGCTGCTGACTGCGCAGCTGGGCCTCCTGCTGCGACCTGTGACACTGCAGCAGATCCTCTTCCAGGGGAAGAAGCTTAACACAGAGGGGATCACAGTATAAACACATTCTGCTGGATAATGCTGCATTTCATCAGGAGAGGAAAAAGATAAGGCAAACTTAATTTTGCTATTTAATAACTATTACATTTCAAGTATTTTAGTGAAAAGGAAATACACAGACGAATGAGAGAAAAAAAAAAAAAAAAAAGAGTACCACACCTCATCCTGCAGCTTTTTGGCCGCTTGTCGAGATTTCTCCAGTTCTGTTCCCTTTTCCTGCAGCTGTCTACGCAACTCAGCCAACTCCCTCTGACTCTTTTCTTTGGCTTCATCGACCTGGTTTTGAAGTACATCTGTAGATGCCTCACAGTCTTCCATGATGCTGTTCATCTGACCAGACAAACAAGATCATGAACATATCTTTGGCTTGGGTTGAAAGTTAAAGCTAAAAAATAAAATTGTTTAAGCAAACTTCCTGGCTCCAAAATGTGAAATTCCCCCACAGTACCAGATGATCACTCCTTGTCCAGCTCTTACCTTTCTCTGCAGTTGCTCTACAGCTCTGTCCTGCAGCCTTCTCTCATCTTCTAGCTCCGTCTTTGCTTTCCACAGTTCCTCTATTTGTTTCCTCTCTTCTTTTAGCTTTTCCTTCAGATCTCTGTGTTCATGGTTCAGTTTGGTTAACTTACTCTGTCAAAAAGGTTAAAGAACATTATATTTTTAATGAATACATAATTCCATGAGACATGGTACATGGAAAAAAAGGATAATAACCTGATGACCTCACAGGTCAGTGCTGTGATACAGTGACAAAGGTTACCTGTGTATCCTCCAACCGAATGAGCAGTGTTTGGTTAGACTGACACATCTCCTCTTCATTCCTCCTCACGTCCCCTAACGTTTCTTCTACTTGCTGCTTCTCCCTCTGTGGAATTAAATGTAAAAAAAAGCAATTACAAAAGTTACAGCTTATGTTTTTTTACCTGTTTAACACTGAAATTAGCATGTACTACCAGTTTCTGACCGACTTACAGATAACTTACTTCAAAGATAACAATGTGATTAACAGATTATCAAGCATTGTTTTAACATACTGTACATTTGATGTTCAGAAACCAGACCTGAGAGAATCTTAAGGTAATTAACCAGTTTTTGTTATCTGACTTTAGCTCTACAATCTCAGGTCCTAGGTTCACATAAAAGCTGTTTCGAAAACATCTGATAAACTGTGTGAATTGCAAAGTCACTTAACTAAGGAGTTAATCTTATTGTTCCAGAGGGAAAGTTCATACAAACTGCAGGTTCATACATCTCCACCTGTTTCTCACCTCCAACTGTCTTGCTCTCTGCTCCAGCAGTCTCTCTGTGGTTCTGCCCTCCTGGATTGCCTGGCTTAGCTGATCCACTTTCTTGTTGAGATCCTGTACCTTTCCTCTCAGCTGATCTCTCTCTTGACTGAGGTCCTTCAGCTGCACCTTGGCTACACCTTTTTCCTCCTCTGCTTCAACCCTCTCCTGATACACAAGATCGTTGTTCTACAAAAAAGGCAAAGAGGGTGAAAGTAGATAAGAAGAGTAAAATAAACCTAATTTGAAATTAAAAACATCTTACGTGTGTTACAGTGACCTTTTACCTCTTTAGCCAGATCCAAATCCCTAAAAAGTTTCTCAATTTCCTGTTCATACTCCTCCTTCAGCGCAGCTGTGTATTTGTCATGAGTTTCCACCTCTTCTTTCAGTGCTTCTTTCAAAGAGCTCAGCTCGTCTTTCTGGCACTGAAGAATCTCCTCCTGTTCCTCCTTCATGTGCAGCATTTCCTGGAAGTCCATGCGCAACTGTGCCATTTCCTGACAAAAAAAATCCAGCACAGCAAAATATGAAGAGGCCTTACAGCTGTTTCTGATTTGTGACCCATATCTTTTACACCTGGATTCATTTACCTTCAGTAGAACTTCTTTGTGTGTGTTTATCACCTCTGTTTTCTTAGCTTGGTCCAGCTCATCATGCATATCAGAGAGCTGCTGCTGGAGATCTCTCATCTCTGTCCTGGATCGTTCTCTATCTGCCCTCATTTGACTTAATCTGCCAAAACATTATGAAACAAAAATATGCTGCTGGTTTATCTGGCTTTACTTTCTACACAGTGTAGGGGGGCACTGAGAGATAAAACTTTAACACTAAATCTAAATGCTTTTTTACACATTGCAGTTAACTTGAATGGCCTCAGTGTAAAGCACAAGCATGTTTTATCTGAGGTTAAAAAAGCTGTAAATAGATATCCATATGGAGTCTACAGGACAATAACCTGACCTCTTACCTAATGTATACAGGAGAAACACATTAATGGCAGGGTCTCCGTTTTTACACATCCCATAATGTATAGCTGGAGCCATTTCCAGCCACCAACAGGAGGGGCGGGGTACACCTTGGCACTTTGCAAGTTGATTTATAAATGGACTGCTCAATACATGCTTGACTTAAGTTGATAAATATGGGGTTTTAAACCGTCATGGCTTCACTTTAATAAAACATCTTTAGACTTTAATGTTTACGTATCATTTGGTCCAATGCACATATCAACGGTTGAAGAAGTTGGATAACAACCCAATAACCAATGTTCTGTAAAACTAGATCCTTACTCCTGTTTTGTTGACTGTAGTTGTGCTTCCATTTCAGCCAGCCTGTCCCTTAGTTTGCTTAACTCCATCTGACTTTTGTTCAACTCTTCCTGAAGTTTCGTCTTCTCTGTCCTTGCTTTCTCACAGGCTTTGGCTAAAGTCATTTCATTCTACAGGAAAAAACAGCAGATATGGACAACATCAGTGACAGGAAGTGAGTGATTTGAAGGTGAGTCAGCAGGATGAGACCACTACACACCTTCACTTCAATATCCAGTTTCTGCTTCAACTCAGACACTTCTCTCTCCAGCAGTGTCTGTTGGTGCTGTAACTGCTTCACCTCAAAGGCATAGTTCTACATTAAACAAGAGGCAGCGCAAAGTAAGTAACAAAACCATGCTGGTACAACACATATCATCCAACCACTCACTCTCTCCTCCTCCTCCACATTCTTAGCAGTCCTCCACTTGAGCCTGTTGATCCTTTCAAACAGCAGGTTGACTTTCCTCTGAGTGGTAGGGTCATCATCAGTCGTCCTTTGAATACCAACATAATGTAATGACAATAAATAACTAAAACATGTACTTGTTAAGGTGTCAGTAAATATTTATCAGCAGAAACAGGTTCATACTTTGCATTTTTTAACTGCTGTTTGTTTAAGCACACACAGCTGGACCAACACACTCCTTATCTGATTGCACTACACACTTCTGGAGCCTTAGCTGAAAAAACTGTACATAACTGTAACATAATTTAAATTTTTTGTGCGCTGAATCAAGTTTCAAACACACTTGTACAAGGATTTTTTTATTCCCAACCCTTAATTCATGTTAGTGTATGGAAGATATTCTGTAAATTCCATAAATTCTTCAGGCGTCCACCTCACATTTAGGAGGTGCAGGGTCATTGTGCAACAGGGGGATACACCTGGTCTTATCACGGAGCTGACACAGTGTAGCACTGAATATCTTCCCTCTATGTGTGAATGCAGGAAATTACTCCTGTCAACTCCCTAATATTATCTTGATTTTATGTCTCCATGAGCTAAGCCAGGAAAACTCGAAATTATTAGCCATGATCTGGCAGGATTCCTTATTCCTGATTGTTCAACGCTGTAATCCTCTGCCGTACCTACGTAATCTGCTCATCATATAGTGAAAACGCTACGGAATTTCAGAACCCAAAGAGCTTAATACAACATAAATGTGTTGATCAACCATAGACAAACAACCACTACCATTTAAATGTATGTGTGAGTTGTGGAAAAAAGGCAGTTTTAAAGGTCTGATGTCATGAAGTTGTTTCTTTGTTAAACTGCAAAGCTAAGCAGCTTCACAGCGACTCCAACAGCTACTACAACACAAATGTGGTATTAATATTCTCATCTGTCAGAGAGAATATAAATCTTCACTACTTCATGAGATGCACTGTTGAAGCACTGGTTGAACTGAAGAAGCTCTGTGTGGAAGGTGACGTACCCATCTTTGAGATAAGTGAAGAGCATTTGTTTTGCTGTGTCTTCCGTCGGGTCTACTGAGAGTTCTTGCTGCCCTTTCAGAAGATCAGGAGTGACCTGGTTAGAGAACAGTTCAAACAAATAAATCCTCTAAAGTGTCAAAAGCATTTTGAAGCAAATGTCATTACCTGCGTATCTCTTTCACCAGAGCCATCAGTCTGATCAACAAGTGTTCTTTCTGGGTGATGCAGGTTTCCATTTTGTATTGTCAGCAGTTTGCTCAGCTTGTTGTTGGGTTGACTCTCCACAGACCTAGTAAGGATTATACCAGCTGAGGTCTCTGGGGCCCTGGTCGCTTTCAGTGACAAAGCTCTGTTCGAAAAAGAGGAGGACGTGGAGGATGTGTCTGAGGCACGACTGTCCAAGCTGCGTGACCTACGACACAGCTCAGCGTCCAGCCGGTTCCTTGGGCAACCTCTTCCCCTCCGTTGGCTGTTGTTGAATTGACTAATTAGCCTGCCTACAGATAAGGTAGACTCTGTTTCTACAGAATTAGGGGCTCTTGCAGGAATGTGACCAATGGTATGAGGAGCCTTCGTCTGGAGCACTTCCACTTGGTCTGTCTCTGGGCCCTCAGCTGGCAGAGGAATCCTGGGTTTGGACAAGTTAGCAGGTTTGATTGGCTCAGGTCCTGGTCGGGACATCAATGGAGTTGGTTGAGGAATGATAACACTGAGGTTATTACTGTTAGGATCATAAGGTTTCAGAATCTCTGGGTGTTTCTGATAATGGAGTTCTGAGGACAAAGCAGCTTTCTGGGTCTCAGCTGGAGAGTGTCTCCCGTCTGCTGACCTCCTCACCATCCCTGGGTTGTATCCGGGCTGATGAGTGATAACAGAGATGTCCCTAAGGCTGCCCTCATCAGAGCTGTTCAGAACTACATACGGTTGACCTTTAATACCTTGAACCTGTACCCTCACCCCAAACATGTTGTCAGGGCTGCCCCTGGGACTGTGCTGCTGCACATAGCTTCTCTGCATTCTGAGGTCTGAAGAACTGCTGAGTCTGTGAGACTCCCTCCTGACTACAGCTGATGGTGAGATGAACTGCCGAAAACACAAGAGACAAATAGATAAGTTAGGGTGAAATGCACTAAGAGGCTCTAGTCCTGCATGGGAAAGAGAACTGAAAGCTGATGCATGTGGTTGGTCAAGCAGAGGCTGTGTGTTTACCAAACACTGAGGCAGGTTTGGAGCCAGAAGGAGAAACAAAGACACACAACCATAGAGTTTCTCACAGCTGCCCTTGTCCAACATAGACGCTGACATGGGTCTGATGTTGCCTTGCAATAAAAACAGGCCATTGTGTGTCCTCATGAGTACACAGTGTGTACTATTGTGTAGCCAATGCAGAGCCTGATGAAGTGCATGACGAAATATAAGTGTCGTCACTTACACATAGTATGACAATACAGAAAAAACAAGAGGTCTTGTGCAGGAGACAAAGGTGTCTTCTCAAAGGAGAATGGACACTTGAAATAATGAAACCACTCAACAGACTTTACTAGTTACTGTATTAGTAACAGTATTAATCTATAGTTACTGAATTGATTTTTCTTAAATGACACTAAAAGTAGCAACAGTGTGGAAATTAAGTTAATATTGTGTGTTTTTCATGTCCTGATAAATTAAGCTAACTGCATTAATTAAGCTTAATTGCTAACTTTGTTCAGCTAAACTTCTATTGAACACGTGTTAATTTCTTGCACTTTATAAAGCGATCAACAAATGTATGTCAGAAAATCAAAAAACAATATATATTTAACCAAGAAAATCAAAGTTTAAGAGAAAAACAGCTCAACAGTCTTAGCTAAAACATGCTAAACTAAAACTAGTTTTAACCTCAATTCGATAATACTCCTGTCAAAGCTTTCTACCTTCCTCTATAGGAACAATAATTAATTGTGTATGTTCAAATGTGGATACGTGTTCTTTGGTGTCTTTAAGAGAACAAATGTTCATTAGTGTCTTGTTAGTTATGGCAGGGTCTTTATATTCCTATAAACCTGTGTTCTTTTACAGTGGTTTGTTTTTAAACCCTCACTATTTTACATCTTCTTTTAGGTGTCATACATAATATAATAAGACTCCTTGATATTACTTATTGGTACAATAACAATTTTAAAAGGTTTAAACGTGATTTAATGAACCCGAGACAGAGTTAATTTGGCACAATTTGACAAAAAGTCCGTTGAAAAAACTCCCTAGACTAAATACGTTCTTACCTATTTAAGCCGTATTTTGCCTAATTCATGAGGCAGAACGTACTCTTTATAAACCTTCTTTATCAACTACACGTTTGTTTTCTGTTGTCAAATTACTTAAAAACGTAGCTGTATCTTAATTATCTAATTGCACATGACACTTTTCTACTTACATTAACACTGTGTTGCTGTAATACATTGATCCCAGGTCAGCCAATAGATCTTAACATCGTTAAGAACAGCTAACGCGAAATATTTTGGTCGGAAGAAAGATACATCTCATAAAACACGGAATGTCTCGATGAGCTGTGAGTCAATCAAGTTTAAAAACGTGTTTTTTAATCTTTGCAGTATAAAAACAATATATTAAAAAAGAAACTTACCCGTTAAGTGTCGGGATAGAGACTGATTTGAAACAGCCGTCACTCCACTTTTCCTGCTCAAACCAGCCGCCCATTATTTTCTTGTGCGCCTTTATTTAGATTCTTATGGTACATACACACCCAACAGTTGCAATGATCCAAGGCAATGAGACCTACCGCCACCTAGTGTTAAAATTCCCGCCTAATTATTGTTTGTGCTTATCTATTTTAATAGTTACGGTTATAGACTAACAACAGTAAGAAAACTAGTTTATATTATGTGATGTTCTTTTTATACTTCCTGGTCCCCTTTAAAATGCACTCTCCGTCAAAGTTGTTAAAATACATTTTTAAAAAGTATTTAAAATGTTACGTGGATAAACTTTAGGACATCTGTACAACATGTTGCATTGATAACAAAGAAATATAATATATACTGTGCTTTTTAAAATAAGGCATATACTCTAATCTTTCTAACTCCAAGAGACAATACATACTTTTTTAACAAACAAAAGAAAATCCCAATTCTTTTTTGAAAAAAGGACATTTATTGCTACTATATTGTTTGATACATGCCTGTGGGCTACCTGTACTGTACACATTGTACATTTAATCACAAATGTAATTTCCAGGTTATTAATTCTGTGGTACAATACGCAAACAAGAAAATGGTTAATACTGTAATTGTTCAGAGCATGAAATGTGGCTACAACTAGTAACTACTCCACAGAGACACGTGTGGAAAAATATGAATAAAAATAGTAAGTTGTGACATTGAGAAAGTCACATCATCTGTATAAAAGATAGTTAACATAACTTAGAAGAAAAATGGAAACGTGCAAAGAGATTTGACTACTTCTGTAGCGCTGTACTCTCAGAAAAATGTGTCCACCAGTGTTTTCACTGAGGAAAGTTACGTTTAAACAGTGCTGTAATATGAATTCATAACAAATTTACAAAGAGAAACCCCACATTTCTGGAGATCTGTTCATTCACAGAATGGTCACACTCCCATATTAAACACACAACCACAAAATTAACAAAATTGTCGTTTGTACACACGTGGTATTTTGTGGCCCTTATTCTCCATTTTAAACAAAGTTATTCAAAAATGAATTAAGAAACAACTAAGTTTAGACCCTCGTTCCATTATAAATATATTTTATATAAGGTGTGTTTTCTAGTCAACACAAAGTTAAAACAGAAAACATAATATATAAAATATAAGTCATCAGTCCTAACACTAAACTGTGATCAACCATAGTGGTAGGCAAGGTAAGAAAGAAGTATTTTGGCCAAATTAATACTGCAATTGAATCTGACTTTTCATTAACATAAATGCTTTCAATGTAACATAAGGCTAAACAATAAATATACAAAGTATTTACAAAATACAAGTAGCTTACAATGCATTTGTCTGATCAGTGTAAAGTTTAGGCACAAAGTTAGAAATTTGTTTGGGAAGTGGGAAGATGATTGTTCATCTACATCATTCTACAATCAGGAAGATGGAGCTTTGTGTATTAAAAAAAATCATGGATGATGAACAATGTAATTATTTACCCAAGAATATTATGATATACATGATATTAATACATATTTTTGTGGTGTCACAAAAAATGTTTTTTTTTAATTGCGTGAACATTAGCGAGGAAAAACTGTATTTATTAGAGTAAACCCAGCAGAACCAGTAGATGGCAGCAATGCAACTTAATAGACGACAGTGTAAGAACAGCAGCTGCAGCTAACTCTCAGATAAGTCTTTCTGTTGTATGATACAAGTTCTCTAAATAAACACTTTTTGTGTCAGTGAAGGCAATTAAAAATGCAGCTGTAAAATGTTCAAATATGTGGTTTGTTAAGTTTGGTAAGTTTTGTTCAGATGTGGTCAAAAGCCTGTTTTTCTGTGATCAATCACTGGCCTCACCTGTTTGTCGTCTTCAATCCCAGCTGTGTTTGCTGTAAAACAATAATGTTGTACCAGCACATTCAACCCACAGACCAGAGCTTTTACTGTTAGCTGCTTTCATACCTCTAACTATTTGATTTGGGATGTGATGTAGTTATTATTGGATGTTCAGAGATGGCCCATTGGATTGACTGTGTCGGTTAGACTGGGATGAAAAGCCAGATGCATTGACTGTGGCTCAGTCATGATGGCAGAGGCCTTCTCTTCTTCTCTCCTCCGCAAACACGCTGCCTTTGGGTTCAGATTCCTTTCTGTGGGATTGAGTAAACGAGAGGGTTAAAAATGTGTCTTCATAAAAAATTCTGTGGCTGCACACTGAAATATTCCCTCTTCATCATTCATGCACCACGTTTGCACAAACATTTTTGTGTATAGATTTTCTTTTCACCAAAGAGTCAGACATATCACTTCTGTATCAGTTACACTCACCTCTGACTTGTTGTTCCAGGCTGAGAATGACACCCACTGCTTGGTGCAGTACCAACAGTTTGGTCTGTGGCTTCTCACTTTTTAGGTGTATCTGACACATGTGACCCAGCTCCTTAAAGGCCTCGTTGATGTCCCGAACGCGCAGGCGTTCCCGAGCATTGTTGGCCATCCTCCTCTCACGTTCTCGCTCCGCTTTCTGCTCTGGGGTTAGGTCTTCATCCTCATGAATGCTGATACAAGAATAAGCAACTTATTTATGGCATTGTGATAGTTATTTTAGGACTACTAGAAGTGTACGGTGGTGAGTCCATCTGCAGGGAAAAAAACCTCTGTCTGGGTTTTCTTTTTTCCTCTCTCTTTGTCTGGGCCAGTTATTTACGGCAGCTGTGACTTGGTGGTTAAAGAATTGGAATGATAATCAGAGGATTGTGATGTGCATTGCGGACAGAACCTGACACTTTTTCTTAGGAAATTGGGCAGGACTAGCAGGATGTAGAAGTTTTTAACTATGTGGTATTAATTATGTGGTAGTCAATGATGGACTACTGCTTGGACTACATTTTTATTAACTAGATAACAGTTCATAATGATAATATTTAAGCGCTGTTAAAAATGTCTGCTCCTGCTTCAAAAACCCCTGTTGTTGTTTTAATTTGAATCAAACAGATTGGATATTTAATGTTCTATGTTATATTTGTTGTAATATTACAAATGATAATATATGAATGATATAAGTAATGGTGGTTTTGTTATAGGTAGTTGTTGTGCTAGTGGCAGAAACTGAAAGATTTTAATGTTTTGCAAAAGAACATCACCTTTTAATTTAAAAGGAAAGATTCTATACACAAACCTCAGGTGTAGATCTATGATTTTCAAATTAGACTAATAACACGCCTTTGGAGAAGAGCTCGATGTTCTGTGATTAAAATCTTAAACCTCAGGAACCTACATACTCTACTAACTGGATGCTTAAGCTTAAGTGAATCATTATTAAGCAATACTGTGGGTAACTCTGCCCTCTGTTGGTCACTTGGATGATAGCACGCCACAGAGTTTCCACAAAGCATCCCCGAAACTGTATTCTTATTTATCTTCTGACTGCAGTCTCATGTATTTGCTCTTATATTTCCGTATTAACAAACGTGTACTTAAACATAAAGATATGTATTTGTTTTTTACTGTAGGATTTAAGAACTGTGGATTGAAACATGTTTGCCATCCATCACACATGCTAGCATTAACATCCCTTAAACACATTATAGAGTCAAATAAAAAGGAACGTCATCAGAGCTGCCACCATTAAGAGCTTTAGCATATGGGCCAAGGTTTTACATCTGAATATTTAATACTTAGATAAACATATATAGATGTAGATTTTTTGTAGATTACACTAAATACATGCTAATAATTTAGCCAACCACTTTAACAACACATTTTAAATGGCAACAGTTTTGTTTTACAGTTAAATCATGGTTTTTAAATTATAGCATTTTTCTCCCAAAACAACTATTTTGTAAACATGATTTTGTCCCCCGTGACATTTTGTATAAGAATTATTAATGAACAAAATTTAAATTATTAGTAGACCACTGGTCTAATTAGGCCAAATAAAACCCTTTCAATACAGTTTGCCCGACAGTGAAATGATTCCTACCGTTAACTGTACCTCCCAACAGCTGCTCTTTTCCCTCCTTTTTCATCCTTTAATTTACAGCAACTTGAAGTGACAGGAAGAAGAAATATGAGGCAGATCTAAATAGGCTGTCTTGGCCACAGCTGTCCTTCACAGAGGGGGGTCTGACAGCTTTTAAAATTAGTGAACCTGAATGGCAAGAAGACACTAAGACTTGCCTTTGAATGAGACTTTTACTTTGAAAACTGCTGTGTAATCACACCGCGCTGTATCTGAAGTACATTATTCTCTTTGGAAAATTAATTTTTTTGCTAGAAATAATAATAAAATACAGTTCCAGGCTCGCCATAAATTACACAGGAGACCTGACTCTGCATAATCAGTACAATGGATTTGTTCTGTAACATTTCAAGCATGTTTACTTATTTTTATATTTACTATTTTTCAACCAGGTTTATTTTGTGCCCCATCCAGAGTAAAGGAGTGATGTTCTATGTTACCTGTCCCTTGTGCCGCTCTCTGCATGTGTTTTGTGTTCACTCTCCTCATCTGATCTCTGGCTGTCAGGGCTGTGACTGTGATTAGTGTGCATCATCTCCTCCCTTTCTCCGCTTTCAGTCTTCAGCTCCAGATTACCCTGAATTCTCAGACCTCCTGTGGGATATTACACAGATTAAAAATATTCAGAGTGAATAAAAGGATGAAAAGCGTAGAGAAAAAGAGTGAAATCGAAATGTTGCAGCGGAGAAATGAGAGGAATCGCTCACCTTGCATTGCCTGTAGAGTGCTCCTCTGTCTGGCTGAGTACAGGTGTCCGTTCTCCATGCGGCTCAGGAAGGGTGCGTGGTTGCTGTTCATGCTGACAGCATCAACCTTCACGAAACACCGAATAATTGAGAATTCATTTCATTATGTGAAAGCAGCATTAATGAATAGAATAAAGCTCATATCTCCAGTCAATGATCAACAAGTCAGAAAACCAACATCTGCCTTCTGGTTTCCTAACATTACCCAGACCCTGAGCTTTGTTTTGCAGATTTCATTTAATCGCAGACATTCTTAATCCTTCTTCTGACCTACAATGTACATATACTCTCTAATTCTTTTCAGGACTCACTTTTAAATTCAAACTGGTTCTTTGAAAAAAAAAAAAATAGTTGCATTTAATACAACCTCTTCTGTGGGATTAGACACAAAAATATGTTTTTCTCTTCTACAAGCTTTCACTCCAGCTGGCCTAAAATCCCCTTAAAAATCCTCTTGGTCATCACTAAAAGAAAACATGTAAAAGTGTCAGCGCAGTATGCTTTTGTTCCCCATCATACAGTGTTTTGGAATAATACGACACCCTTTTGTTGTGCTCTCCAATTATGCCTGGTTTCCTATTTCAAGATCAACACAATATTACACGAGGACACATGCAGCTGCAGCTGACGGAAAATCTCCCCCGCAGAATACCAGCAAACACTCAGACAGAGAGACAGTACACAGGCAACCAGCTGGAATTTCCACACATGCCGCCCTGTCCTTTCTGAAATACTTCAAAGAAATGTTTGTTAACCATGGCTGGTGTGTGACAGGTTAGCTGCAGAGTGTTGGCAGAGTTCTGGTGGCTGTGGTGGGTCTGGTGCAGCAGGCTGTGGATGTCAGGGGGCAGCCCAGCTGTGGGGCCCACAGCGTGGTTCCTGAGGACATGGATGACGTCGTCTAGTCTGTCCAGACGGTCCTCAACCTGAGACTGCAAACACCAGGAAACAAAGGTGGTCAGAACAGAACAGAGCGGAGTGTGGCAGTTAGCCTGGCCTAGTGGAAAAGACTGATACAACAGATAATGTACTGTACAGTATCTAGTCTTTTTTCAGATTTTTTATTTTTTTGCAGTCACTTCCCAAGTCTTAAACTAAAATAATTATCAAAAAAAAAAAGATTGTCATTCTGGGTTCACTTTGACTTTTTTTTTGTGAGCCACTGAGTTTGCATTTATCCACACAGGATGAAGTCAACATGAACCCAAAGGAACTTTTCTTATGTCCAGTTTTATTGGGCTGGGTTTGGTTGTTTTGTTTAGGATATAGGACACATATACATTTACATATAGGACCCTGAAATAATGATTTATTTCTTGAAGGACTCTAAGGCATGTACTTGTGTGATTTTGGTGATGTTTTTACCATTGATATTAGAGTAGACTCGTAGTGTGGCGAAACTGATGCCTGAATGGAACTCCTCGGCCACATGTTGGTTCCTGAGAAGGACAAAACAAGCAACCTTAGAAATATGATATGACAAAGTCATTCCTTGTTTTAGTTTGTATAACATGTAGGGCATCACATGCCACCATCCCACTTTACCTGGAGGTTCAGCTGAGTTGGGCAGAGGAGACGGAGTCCTCACCGGTGTGGACGAGCTGGAGGGGAAGCTGCTGCTGGTGTGATCAGGGGAATAAATCTGGGCATGGAGAGGGAGGGAGGGAGGGAGAGAGAAAAAGGAAGGTGGAGAGGGTGGGGGTTGGTGAGAGCAGGGCATGCATCATTTTAAAAGCACAACTTGTCATTTCTGCGTAAGGTTTTACAGCTGCTGCCACCGCCTTTGGAGCAGGATCGTAACCTGAGCTAAACTCATCAATTCTGGTCATTTTACTAGTCACCAGCCAATAAAAAGTGCAGCAGCACAAAAGTAGCCCTCACTTAATATGCACTCCTCTGTTATTGGCAGACAGGAACAACTATTTCCTTTTTGCATTAAAGCCCCGAGAGTCTCTGGGCTTCTGCTCCGGTCTGACTGTTTGAGCATAACAAGACTTAGATGTGTCCGACTGATGGGATTCAAATAGAGGATACTTACAGATGCTAGAGCTTTGCCCAAGGTGGCTCCTGTCTGTGACCCGCCTGATGTATTCCTCTGGCTCCCTGAGACTTAAAACAGCCAACATGAGTCGTGAGAACATAGGAGTGAGCTGAAACAAACAGGAAATCTACTTTTTAACATTTCCTCACCTGTTGAATTCTCTGAGGAGTTGATTGATGGGGCGTGTGGTGCTGTGTTGTCGCGGTGAAAAGTGGACATGGGTGGAAGACCCCTGTTCATATCAGCAGCCATCATTGTATGTGAGGTGTAGTCCTGAGCAGGAAGGAACCACAATCTTAAATACACAGGGCACAAAATATGCTGCGCTGTCAACATCCAAGGTGCTGGATGTAAATCTCACCTGGTGACTTTGTGCTGGTTGCAGACTGCTGTAGTTTCCTGCCTGCGTCTGGTGGGTTGTGGCTACTCCCAGTGCACCTTCATAGCCCTGCTGGTTCAGCCCATTTACAGCATTCCAGATGTCGGTCGAATTGCTTGTCCCCTCTAAAATGCATAATGATTTGTTATGGTGTGAACTGAAGCAGCATCTAAAGCAGCCACAGCTACTGCCATTGAGTTCCACAGTAGTGTAAACATTTACCTGACCAGAGAAACTGAAACTCATTTTTAATACTTGATTGTTTCCTTTAAAAATGAATTTAGACATTAAAAGATTTTACTTTAAACAACCAGGGAATGGTTAGTACCTGCTTCTTACTGCATGAGCCCATCTTTAATACTTCTTCCCTAAAGCAAACTATGTACATACATATAGACTTCTATAGTCTGCAATATTATATTATTTTCTAATAATTATAATACATCTGTTTTTGGCACTCATTGGTGAGTTTTGACACAGTACTTGTTATTTTAAAGAATAAAGTGTTTGGTCTCTGCATTGTGGCCTTACATATAGACACAGTGTTTCAATTTATAAAAGATTTGTCGGAATCCGCTTTTTAGTTAAGTTACTGGAAATTTACATTTCTAGGAAATGCTAGGCTAAATGCAACAATAGTGTCTCTACTAAAATTAGTTGGTGCAAATGTAACATTTTTTGTTATTTTGCTGAGCTCACCAAAGAAGGTGCTTGCAAACACATTGGTCATAGTCTTGTTGGATGGGTGTAAAGACAGGTTCTGGTTGATGTCATCATTTGTGGGGGAGTGCCCATAAACCTGAAAACAAGAGGTCATAAAGAACAGGTTCATCCAACGGAAAGAGATGATCAAATGTCAATTTTTATAATGATGTTTTATTACTAAAATATTTTGTCTCAGTGACACAAATACAAGAGTAGTGCGAGCAGGAAGCAACAGCATTATGAAAACAAAGCAGAGCAGAGAGCTGATGGACACTTATAGCTATTGCGATAATCCATAAGCTGCAGATCCATGCACCTCTTCATCCGGATTTAGGAACCATTCACCATGTGAAATCCCTGCCCTAATCATGATCAGACTCGGCTGGCTTCAGGAGACCGGGATACAATTCCCTACCAAATAAAATTGAATTACAGGCCTTCTCATGTTGTGCCCTCAGAAAGAGACCAAACACTCCTCACTCCTAATGCTCTCTGTCTCTCTGTCTCTCCCCTGCAGGAAGGAAAACACCATAAATATCAAACAGATCAAGGAATTAGACTAAACACACCATCGGCTCATTTGTTTTCCTTTCTCCTTACATGCAAGTAACTGGCTCCACAGTGCACATATGCACACAAAACACACCAACACATGCTCACTCACTCAAACACACCAAGAGGTCTGGGCTGCACCTGCACCTCCCTCCATCGCTTTGATGTGCCCCAGGAAATGAAAATAAACCTCCCTGCGCAGCATCAATGGGGTGTCAGTTACCCGGACGACAACTTCTGTAAAACAGGCTATTAAAGACTCTCTGGAGTGGCTCGTGCAAGCACACTCACCGTCTCTCCATCTTACTCACACACACAAAGACAAACACTTAAGCACACACATACACACGCAGCCATGACCCTGGCTGGCATGAGTCCCATGGTGATTGTGGGCTAGGCCAAACAGAGGAGCCCCTGCCGACACTGGGCCCGTCTGAGCCGCCATGGGCAGCATATGGCGGAGGATAAAGCCAATTGTCCTCCTTACCATCAGCATAGCAGGCGACCCGTTAATAATGGTCACACCCCCGCCCCAGCACGCCCTCTCTGGCCCCCACTGGAGAGGGGCCGTCACCATGGCATCCTCCTTTAGCATAGCATTGATTTAAGAGCCATCAATCACGGCATCACAAATGATAAGGGCACTTTTTTCAGCAGATACGCAGACAACAGCCCAGATTGAATTAGGGCGAGCATTAAGTCCAAATTAGATAAATAAATTGTTGGTCTTGAACTTGACTTTACTTTTTTTCTTTAATCAGAAAACATGAAGTGATGAAGTGGTGAACAATTTTAAAACTTTCAAAATTCGTCTCCAGCATTATTGTGATGCTTAATGAGAGGAATATCAACTTACTATTCAGGGCCAGTGCTGTGCTCCACAGCGTCCAATTCCAGCCACATGCAACCAATTTTCTGCCTCTGTGATCCATGATGTCTGGATATGGTTAGTCTCACAGAGATCAAAGCTGCCTTTGATAATGGCTGCAGCGGTGGAGGGACCGCTCCAACATGGCAGGGTTAAATCAAATAAAAATAGCAGCAATCTGCTTCATGTCAAGATGTTTAATGCTGCAAGGCTTTGACTTACATGTTGCTCAGCTACAGGAAGCATGGATGTCCTCCCTGCAGTATGACATAAGTTTGTTGGCCTTAAACCACAAGCAAGGAAACACTTGTAGTGTTTGTTTCTGAATCAATGGCACCATACCATTTGGATTTTGGGGGAGTACTGGGGTACATGTTGATCCATTTATTCTCTTGTAGTTATAGAACGCAGTTGTTAGGCAACAAGATTACAAGTTTAATTATTTTTTTAAACATATTTTTTTATTCATAATTTTTTATACAAATCTCTGCATTGGATGTTTTGTGTTTAATCTCCCTTGGGTCTAGACAGGAAGAGCTGAGTGTGACAACAACAAACACTACAAGTACAAACACACATCTCTTTGAACCCATGTCTCCCACTCACTCACTCATGTAGTCACTCCTGCACTCATTTACTTAGTTGCTCACTCACTTGTTCCTACAGATAAATAATCACAAATGTTCCCAAGCCACATGAAACTCAACCATACACCCCCCCCCCCCCCCCCCCCCATAAATAAATCCATCTAAATCCTAAGGTTAATCCTTGAGAAAAAGTAATGCAAACATGACAATATCTCTTAACTTTTATACCTACTCTGAAAACTGTACAGTACAACTGTGACTTGGACAACAGCAGATTTATGAACCATCTTCATCAGACTGAGCTACAAACCAGTGACTGACAGACGACAACTACACAAAGTCCACATCTGAGGGAAACATTTCACAGCATCACCATCTCCTCGGTGTCACATCTGAGTCAAGTTATTTCATTGCATTTCATCCCTCTGTGAATGTGTCATGCACTTACTGGTTTCATGTTGTAGCAGTACATCAATGAGTTGTTTCTTGTGCCTGAGCCTGGATGAGCACAGTGCATCACTTTGTCCGGTTCAGTGCAACACAGTCCACACTCCTCAGCTCCTCTGTCTGTGTCTCTACCCGTGTGTATGTACAGTCCACATGCACTCCCTCAGCAAACCGACACTGCTGCTCATGCAGCTACCCACACACAACTTATGCAAATCAGGGCTGGACCATTGCAGGCAGTAGAGAGGGGTGGCCAAGGGTTGGCGCTATTATTGTACTACAAAATAGAGGGTTCGTTCAGAGTAACATCAGCAACCAATTTGTTTTTTGTTTGTTCTGTAAATCATTCGTCTTAAATTTTGATGTTTTGACTGTAGGGTTGAGTGTGTGATGACAGAAAGACAGGGAAAATTGATAAATTAATTAAGGATTCCCCATCTAGGTGTGATCAACATGTTTAATAAAAAAATAATATTATTTGTATTTGCTGCTGTTTTCTATGGGAGTTGTGGTATGATGTGTGTGTTATATGAATGTGCTCAGAGATGCCTCCTCTGTGTGACAACACAGCGATGAGGATTAGTGTGTGTTAGACAGGTAAAGGTTTCCAGTAAACAGAGGATGCCACAGCCTTGTCTGACCTACATTTACAAATAGAAGTAAGTCTTAGTTAGTAGTAGGCACGTGAATCCTGGCAAGCTCCTGCTGAGGCTAGGTTAAAGGTTATTTATACCTCAGACTGTCTGGGTGAGCTGCTAATGACGTTGGCATTGTCCTGATTGTGGAACTGGTAAAAGAAGTGGCAAAATTACTTTTTAACTGACAACTTCAGCCTTCAGAAGCCATTAGAAACAGCTGCATAAATAAGACAATCCCTTCCAAATTGCCATGGCCTTTTTTATTATTATATGACTATAAACTATAAGAAGTACGACTACAGATTAGGTGCTGATTTGGTAGCTTAAAGTTGGTCAAAACAATGAAAAGCTGAAAAAAGCTTAGGTCAGACACCTAAAGAAAAGTCTGTTAAAAAAAGCCAGGCAGCTGATTGGCCCAGGGCAGCCAGGTCTGTAATTCCAGTACAACCAAAAGTACACGAAGAACACAAACAGACAAACCGTGGTTTTGTCAACCACTCTATTTTTCATAGTTTTACACGTTCCAAATACAGTATATAGGGATATTAGTGAATTAGTCCAAATGATGGAATTAATACTTAAACAGTCCATATGAATAGATGAAATTTACAAATCAAGCCATGATGAACCCAAATACAGGTAAAACATGGTAAGTAACATTACACCTGTACAGTTATTTAACTCATTCAGCTGTTTTTAACGGTTCATACTAAACCGCTTTGGAAACCAAGGTACAGTGTATAAAGTACAAGTACTTTAGCTGCACTATAGTGTTTTTGTGCCCTTCACTGTGTAAAATACATGAAGTTAGTCTGATGCCCAGACCTGCTGTGTGACACACTGTCCTGGCTGGCAGAGCTCACTGTCCTGGGGCCGCTTCACAGAAATCCAATCAAATAATTCCCAGCGAGGCATCTGCAAAGGGTTTGTTTTAAACACAGTGTCGCACTGACCCTCCAGTGTTCACTCTGAAGCTACAGGAGACTTCTGTGTAGACTCTGACCAAACTAGTGGATCTTTTTTATAGCATCTTAAATCAAGTCAGTTCAAGTCTTTGGGAAAATGTTTTGGGGTTTTTTTTTTGTTTTTGTTTTACAGTGAATGTGTTCTTCAGAAAGCTCATTTAGAGAATGGGTGCTGACTTTCATCATATTGTGAAATATTGGGAAAACCTCTAAAATAACAAACACTACTGTCAACAGTTTTAAATCTGTGAACGTGAGCTGTGGAGCTTCCTTCAAGTCAAAGTCTAATCCTGACCTTCTACGGTGTTGTTAAGTGGGTTAGGAGGTCAGTCTTCTTATCGTTACCAGAACAATCACTTCTGCCTGAATACACGTTTAAATTTCATTTAGGAGAGTCACAATATTAAGAAAGTCATGAGCTGTATATGGATTTGTTTTTAAAGGAAACGATAAAGGAACACCAGTGGCTACTGATTGACCTTTTCTGTTGACAGAAATCAGCTCTCTTATCTGAACGGCTAAGCCTGCGTGACACACACATATCTCCGGTAAATGATCCAAGAGCAAATATATACAGTCCCCTTAGCCTGAACTTTGCATCAATCTTAGTTAATTGCAGTCTTGTCAGGAGAGCGATTATTCAAACAGGTAATGCAAATGTTAATGAGTTCGAATTTGCATATCTTTATTTTCCCATGGTTGAAATGTCATTGGTTATGGCACTCTACAATGAAAAATGTCACTGCTGATGGCCCCCTGATACGCTGCCGGCCATTAGAAGGCCAAAAAGGAGCGACTGCAGGCTACAGGGAGGAAATAAAAAAGGAGTTGTGCTTAAAATAAAATCAAAATGCCTTTAAGCAAATAAAACAAACATATTAGATGGTCGGAGTGTAATTGCAGTTAGATCTCATTTGTAGAATGATTTAATGTTTTGTGAAGTGCACGAAATCTGATTATATCCACTGCAGAGGAGGTAATAGGGCTGTTACTCATGGTTGTGCTTTTATTGTACTTTGTGCTGTTGTTTGCCCCTTTGCCTAAACAGCACAGTGTAGTGTCATTGGCAGAGAAGTGTTGTAGTGTTGTTGGCATACCCCTCATCATCATGCGCCTGATTTGACATGGCTTAAATAACTATCTTACTGCCAATGATTGGCATTCACACAAGCAAGAGTGAGCAGGACTGGGGAGCAGATGGTGACATTCCACATGACCAAACTGATCAATCAGCATGCTGGGACGCAGGTGCAGCACAGGCGGGCAGCACCACACCATCTATTTCACCATCTACAGGGCACAAATACACGGGCACCAAACGGGACACCCTGAGGGGCTGCATGCTCCTCCGTCCCGCTGTGCCAAGGTTGATGACATCAGAATTTCCCATCCGCTCCTCTACCGGATGCCAGAAAAAGGGAAGGAAAAAACACTGCATAAAATCTGCTATATGAGTCTTTGGCTTGGGATATGTTGGGATAAGTGACGTCAAAGCCAGGGACTCCCAATATTTCACCCAGCTACCAAACTAATGAGGACAAAATGGACAAAATGACTGGTTTATTTTAGGAAATGCTAATAATAAGAGAGGCAGCTGCTTTGGGGTTGTAGGGACACTGGTGGCGTTTGTGTTTTTAGAGTTATGATATAATTGTTATATGTAAGCCTAACTTAAAAAAGATGTTTGATTGAGCTAGTCTTTATTATTGGAAAATAACTGATTAAAAGAGAAAATCACCAGGTCAGACCTCTGTTCTGAGAAGACAGCAATGGCACTAACATGGTTTTCTACTGCTGGAGCCCATTAACGTCCCATCTGTAGGTCATTCAGAGATGCTCTTCTTTATAAAAAGACTGTATTGGTTTTTATTTGAGTTGCTGTTTCCTGACAGGACAACTGGCTCAAAAAGTGTTCTTCTTTGACAATAAGGAGTTTGGGTCTTGATCACTCATGACCTTTTTTTGATCATTATTTGTAAAGTCTAGTGAAGATGTAATGGGGAAAAAACAGTTCTCACAAATATTGCATAAATGTGTTGTTTAATTCCTGATACAGTTTGTATCAGTTTGTTAATATGACATAAAGCAGGGTTAGCATTTGTTTTGTTGTATATGGTATATGTCCACGTCATTGGTGTTTGATACCTGCTGCCGTGACTCTGTAAACTGAGAATCTGATCCTACACTTTTAGTCCAAGTACTGAAGAAGAGGAGGAGTGGTGGTGGTGGAGGCACGGGGGTGTAAGAGGATTGGATAGGCTGTGGATAAATGGTTCAGGTTCACGTGAGAGCCAGACTGAGTGACCTCTGTGTGCCACGGTGACCTAGCTGTCCCAGATTCAGGAGTACCTGTGAGGAGATGACAGTGGCTTTAGATCAGTCTAATGTGTGACCAGGTTAATGTCCAGGAAGCAGCTCGTGATGTTAAATCTACTCAATGACTGTTGACCTGATAGCTGTTTGTTTTAGTTGCATTTATTGGTGCCCTGCAGAGTTTGATAGTAGTTTGGTGTTTGTTTTGGGGGGTAACGGGGTCCACTGTTATGTATTACATTTCTTTGCTTTGGATTTTTTAACATGTGATCAGTGGTTTCTTCATATCTCATATGTTGAAGTCTTCATGTCCTCCAAAAGTGCTTCCTCTGATGAGATACTTTAGCTCTAATATTACACTGTGCCATTACAACATGCACTAATACCTCGCAGGCTAACAAGTGACTCAGAACAGGTTGAACTGAAGACAAGCGTCATTAGACAGTGTGGTGAGACATGGCTACAGTAATGGCTGTAGCATACTATTAATCTGAACATGTGAAGGAATGTACAAGGGCAAGGACTGCTGGGAAGAGACCTTCCAGCCCAAATGTGAAGTGACAGAAGATTGACAGTAAAATAAATCAGTCCAGAATAGCCAGCCAGCCAAGGTCAGAAATAGAGTGAGAAAACAGTGACTAACAAGGAAACAGTGTTTTCTTGAGATTCAGATGAAGTGTCACTGCTCCGCACCTCAGGTGTAGTCAACATGTCAGCACATGACAGGGTGTGATAAGAGTGTGATATGATGGCGTTACAAGGAGAAGCGGAACGACGTAAACGGTGAAACTGAGATGTAGCTCATCACGTCATGAACTCTTCAAAAGTAATGCTTGAGGTTATGATAATGACTCTGTCGGCTTTAGAACTTTATCATATTTAGAAAGAGAAAAATAAAGGGTCGACCCAAAGGTCGATGGATCGAAACCATCTTTTAGACTTCTTTATGCTTCTAGCAGAGTGGCGCAGCGGAAGCGTGCTGGGCCCATAACCCAAAGGTCGATGGATCGAAACCATCCTCTGCTAATTCCTTTGGTGCATTGCTCTACCAGACCAATAAGATCATTTATAATCTACTTTGGCTCAAATGCCCTCAGAATGGACAGCAACGGATCACACGCTGTTAATCAGTACTGTTGAGTCAGGATCTCGGCTTGATCTTTAGAATATCCTAAAGAAGAATTTACACAACGGTTCATGATCTCATCATCAAAACCAGGCTAATTTAAAAGAAACTCATTTAACTCTATATAAAAATAAATATTGAGACATTACTTATAAAAAAAAGTTAGTTGTAATACTGCCATCTTCTCAAATGCAAATCCTCTACGATACAACCCATACCCACAGATATTCTGGCTTTTGTGCCCTTTGCAAATGGTCATATTGATCCTTGGCAATAAAGGATCAAAGGTTTTTTGGATCCTTCATGAAGTCATCTGATCACATGTTTGGTTGCCATTTAGTCCAGTTGAGTAGAGCATAGCCCACAGAACATAACAAGGCTGTTAGAGGACCATGTAGACACGCTAGTTGTCCAGTATATTTCTGTCCAACATCAATGTGTGTATTTGTCTTTGCATAATACCACCTTCATTTTGTGCAGAGTCCAGGGCATGGAAGTTACTCGCATTTAGCAGCTGTAGATGGTGAACACATTTTGTTATTATAGTGACACTCGCTGGTGAATGTTGCTTTTTATTTAATCTTCAAACCAAATATGTCACCAATTGCATGGCCTTTTTAATCTTACTTTTCTTTTTTCCTCTATCCAACTTTATTAAGATGTGATGAAGGCAACAAATAATACATTCATTCAGTTAATTTGTTAATAACATCACCATTATCTGTTCAATAATAGGTGTAAATAGCAGGTTCGAGTGAATTATGGGGCAGCTGATTTATTGTTTGTTTTTATTGTTTGTTTTTATTGTGTTTTGTTTTTGTTTTTTTGGAGCTGTTCCAACTTTATAGCAATACTAACTTTAAACTAGACAAACAAAACAAAAAATCTGGAGCAGAGTAGTTAGACAGAAAAATGGAGACAAACTAGAGTGTGTTATTCTCTTTGTTTGTGTTCTTATTTCAAAGACAAATTACAGGCATGGCACACTGGCCTACATACACACGTCTGCCGTGTTTTCCACGAGCAGTGGAGCAACAATACTGGTCTTAGTCGATAGATGGCAGCAAAGAACAAGTCATGATGGCAGGATTTAATCAGGCCGTGTTTTTCCTGACCTGGCGACTTCATTTGGTGACATTTTAAGATTATTCTCTTACATTAAAGCAATACGAATACTAATACTAGTTATATGTTGGTTTAAATGATATACAATATAATCAAATTAGAGTTTTGTGTGTATAATGTGTCAGTTATGGCATGGTTACAGGTGTAACATAAACAAACGATGCGTTGATAAATAATATTACTCATAATAATGCTTGCAGGTCTTGTTTGTCTCTAAACGATGGCAGATTACGTTAAGGAGAAACTATTCCTGCCTGGTGAGCTGTGAGGAAATATATGGTCGGTGTGTCTGCCCGTGTTTTTCCTTTTAGAACGTGACCTCAAATGCAACTGACTGAAGCAAATGTGCGTGAGTGCAGGTGAAAACGAGCGCTGATTGTGTCGGTGAATGACTGGTTGACATGGTGAACTCGTATCATTCTGGCTGTTTACCCGTCATTGTCACTATCTGATCAAACTGCTTCCTGCAGCAGCGCCGCCCCAGGATGACAGCAAAACTACAACGCACGGGTAACGTCAAGTTAGACATAATAAAATAGTGAAGTCCCCGGTCAGGACTCTTAAAATTAAAACCTGACTGTAGACTTGGACTTTAGTAGTTTAGAAATGTTTATATTAAACCAGAATTAAGATTTTGACAACTATTTTAATTTTAGACACACTATGTTTCTGTCCTGGACTGATGCTTTAAATACACATATTACATATACATGGTCAAAAGAAACTGTAAATTAGTTGTAGTCCATATTCTTAATGCCAGACACGGGCTTGTGAGTAAGTAATTGTATGTTACTGGAGAAGGAAATAAACCCACTGACATGCAAGAACACTGTTAGGAATAATTGAGGTAACTGAACTACCTTGACCTGCACAGAAATAAAAATATTAGTAAGTGGTATACAGTACATAGGTCAAGGTATGCATTTGTCTCCAAGCCTGTAAAATAAATACTGTAGTTCTGTTTATCAAAGTAAAGGTAATTCCCTTTTTTGTTTTATTTTCTGTAACATGTAAAACTTTAAGAAACCACATATTCATCTTGATTTTATTTAACTGAATGCACAGCAAAATAATATAGGTCAACTCAAGACCCATGCAAGACTCTTTTTTTTTTTTGCTGATTTACTGGTCGTCCAATATGGCAGCTGAGGGTTGTGTCTGTGGTTGTGTCTTACACCCAGAGGGTGGTTGGTTGAATTACCGTCAGTGGCTCATGTGACTCCCTGGTAGCCTTGCTGTCAGCAGTTTTACTATTTACCATTAAGTGAGTGTTAGCACTGTCTTCAAGCTACCGATACACCAGCTAGAGCTACCTATATACCTGTGTCCCGTTACAATGAGGAAATCTATTGTACCATTCTGTGTATGTATTTTTTCAAATTCTTTTGTGTGTGTTTGTTTTCTATCTTTAATATTTTTTAAAACATTTTAATTGGAGGTGTTTATTTCAATGTCATTGTTGTGTTTTAAATGCATGTGTTATGCATTGTATGAATGTGTGAGTACTGTGCTGTCCATCACAGTTTGTTCATTGTTTAATTTTGCCCCTTTAGAGAATGTGGACGTCCGTCTGTGAAGGTAGTTGCAGCCTTCTAACCTAGCGTAAGTTGACTTTTATTTTGTGTTTCCGGCCGCTCCTGCGCTGCCTGTGTGGGACTTGACGCAGACACTGCTGCAGGCGTGCTATTTGCGGCAGCGGAGAGACCTCCTCGAAATGCCTTTTGTATGTTCCGGTGTTTTTTTCCTTTCTGCTTTTGTTTTGTCGTTTGTGCGAGGCTCGGATCCCAGCGTTTGTAGCCATGCTGTGCGGATGCGGATGTGGCGGGCTGTCCTAGCTGACTGAGCCGCTCCAGCAGCGGTGGGTCCGGTGCAGCGCACAGCCGGGGATGAGGCCTACTCGTTAAAGCTCCCCCACCACCCCTCCATCGTGATGGCTGATGATCAACAACAACCTGGTCAGAAGCCTGCCGTGGGATTAGGCTCCCTACCAGCGCTGGTACCCGGACTGCAGGGGCCCGAGGCCAACGCGTTACAGTTCAAAATCAAGAATTCTATTTGGTAAGGATGGACACGGTCCTCACTCACCAAACCCGCTGTCCTTCTCGCTAGCCGTAGTTTAGTAATTAGCGTTATGTAGCTGTGGAGAGCAGGGAGGCAGCAATCAGCACAAAGCGGCGGTAAATAACACGGTGCTATCACGGTGATAACCACCGAGATTTACCTGGCACACGCCAGCCTTCCATAACACGTCAATGACGGGTTACTTGAGGATGCTTTGGCTCTAGGCGTTAGTGTGGAGCCAGGGGAGGCCATGTTAGAGATGACACCCAGTCCAGCGGTGAGGCTGATGCTCAGGATGACAGGTGTCACTGTCAGATACAACTCCACTGATACAGACACCCAGAGATCTAGACCTAAACAGACACAGACAAATAAAAAAATAAATAAACAGGTGGACTGACTCGGATCTATAAACATCCACACCCAGAAGACAGCTTTAGACAAAATATGCTTACTGTCAAAATATACTGGCACAAATAGTAGGACACAAATCTAAAGAAACTCATCCACTGACACAAATCTAAATGCACAGGGGTTTTGTGGACGCTATAACATGCACACAGCCACTGACACAGTTCTACCCCTCAGACACACAGACATGTCCATGGACACAGATTACATGGACACACCTGTCATGCTATTGCAAATAAATTGTCATTTAAAGAATATTTAGTCCATCAATTGCTATGCAGCTGTGTCCACCTTCAGCGTACCTGCTTGACTATTCCTTGACAGATCCTAGTTCAGAAACCCATTAACTTATGTCAATACACTCAGACTGTACCAAGACTCTGCTCTGTTGTTGAGTGCCATGACTGTTGAAATGTCATCACCTGTGTGAATCACTCAGATGTCATTTTTACTGCAGATGTTTTAAGTTTGTAATGACTGTGCCCTCACCATGGGTCCTCAACATAGTGACCCCCAGGGGGTCAGCTGAGGTACTGCAAAGTTTTGGTCAATTAGACATTTATTATTTAAAATAAAAATGTCTGTATTTTTTTAACAAATTAAATCTCATTAAATAAATCACTATAAACATAACATTCTCACAAAATTGGGGCATTATTTTAATACCTTAGTATTGTATTGTATACAAAGTACATTGAAGTACTTTTGTGGCACTCTTAGGTCCTCACTTATTTTCTTTTCTATATACTATGAATTCACACAAGTTATAATTTGTGTATTATTTGAAAATATATATTTGTAAATATGTGTATGTATAAACAGTATATGTATCTGTAAATATGCATGTATATATACACATATATACATATGTATATTTACATATATAGTTACACATTTATAAATTATGTAGTGTTTACACTATACAGTAGCAGACATTTACCCCAAATGTACTCTTAATTAAAAACCAATTAATCATACATATGCCATTGGATTTTATGTGTTGTTCTGATGCTTGACTTTCTCTTTATCTTTTTAGCAAATCCGTACAATCAAAAGTGGACAGTATATTGGTAAGTATCCAGGTGTTTCTTTTAGACTTGAGTAGGACTGAAGACGAAATATAGGGTAATTTCATAAGGGTTTATTGGTGAATGTTTTTTCTTGTTTTCATATATTATATTATTTTAGTAATTGTAGATATTAGCATTTAAGAAATGGTACCTTGAAAAAGAAATATTTTAAAAGATTTCTAATAAAAGTTTCTGAATTACAGTATATACATTATAAAAAGTTAGTAAATAATTTGAATCTGTGCATAGATATCCTTATATCTTCAGTAACCATTATTTCATTACCATCATTAGGATGTATTAATATATTAGATAATGTAGGGACTTGAACTATTTTAGATGATCAGCAAAACAATTAGATTGATTTTCAAGTTAAATAACAAATTGTTTTTTCTTCTGCATTGATGATTTAAATGTCCCAAAATAAATGTTTTGGTATTAAAGTCGACTAACATGAAGTTGCAGTAGTATGAGCCTTAATACAGTGTTAGTGTGTTGCCTTGTGGTGTGGTCTGCCACACATTTTTCTCAGTGTCTCACTTGATCAGAGATGAGAGTAGAAAATACAAAGTATGTATGGTAGGAAATTGACATGGCTAAGGACGTTGGCCTAATTCCTGATTGTTGTTATGTGATCAGAAAATGACTCATTGTGTATTTGTACTAGTAAGGTGTAGTTACACAGCTCATTCATTCAAGTAAAGGTTCCCTTTGCAACAAAGAATGACAGGAACAGGTGTTTTATATATATATATGTATTATCCATTTATTTTATTTCTAACAAATTATGATTGGGGGGACTCCACTGACTCGCATAGAAAATGCTCTCAGTTAAATGAATGATGAACCACTAGGTGGTGTTGGTTAGTACTGTCACCTTATAGCAATAAGGTGATTGGAGACCCAGATCAAATACTAGGGTACGCTTACAGGACTGAAGTATGGATTCAATTTATTGGTATTTTTTGTTTTACAACTTTTGGCATTGAAAGACCAATGTAATTGTATTCTCTATGCTTGGTTCCTTACCTCCATTACTGTAATGGATACATTTCACCCTTGTTTTTTGTTGTTGTTGTTGTGTTTTTATTTTCACAGCAAGATGTTGAGAAGTTTACAGACATCGAAAAACTCTACCTCTACCTTAAGTTGCCTTCTGGTCCCAGCAGTGGCAATGATAAAAGGTATGATTCAAACGGCTACTCTTTTACTCTGACCTCAGATGATTTTCTGTCTTTATTTAGCTTCCTCTGCCTTGTCTTTTCTCAGCCTCAATGCTTTTTCAGAATTAACTTTTTTGTACCTATGTTATCACCATTTTGAGGGGCTGCTGATCAATGCTGAGGATTTTGTTCCTAATACAGTTATGGCTCATTCTCAGCCAAAAGGTTGATTATCACTGTGACAAAAACCATTGATACATCAAGAGTTTTGCTATACCTAGCTGTCTGTGTTTCATTTGTTTCCCCATATCTATTCGCCTAAACACCCAAATTCTGCCCTTTTGGACTGAGAATGAGAGGAGTTCCTCCACTCCTGGATTATGGTATTGAAGTTTCTGTATTACCAAGACATGATGAATCCAAGTCCAAAACACTGCGTCAAAACACTGTTGCTTCTCTTGTGAAACACTTTCAGTGATCAGAGTTCCATGTCATCAAGTCGCACTCAACAGATGCATGCATTCAACTGGATACGGAATCACCTAGAGGAGCATCCAGAGACTTCCCTCCCAAAGCAAGAGGTTTATGATGAGTACAAGTGAGTACCAAACATTTGGTGTGGGCTCCTCGTGGTGGGTGTGCTAGCCTTTATCCTCACACCCAAATCTGTTTTTCTCCAGGAGCTATTGTGACAATCTCGGCTACAATCCACTGAGCGCCGCAGACTTTGGAAAAATCATGAAGAATGTCTTTCCCAACATGAAAGCACGTCGGCTGGGCATGAGAGGAAAATCCAAATATCCTTTGGTTCTCGTGAAGTTGACAACTACTGTAAATGTTTGTGATTTGGTTTGTGTACAGTAAAGTAATTGTCGTCTTTGTACTGCCTAGATTCCTTTTTGTGTCATTTGCTTTAGTGGTGTAATCTGTAAAGAAAGATAAATAAACCACATCAGAAACATTATTAGATATATAGCATGTTTAGCATTGTAGAGCTTGATTTTAGTCTACTGAAAAAGTCACATGTTTTGGGGACTCATCAGTGCTGATATAGGTGCGTCATGGTCAGTTATGTACTTCAGTTTTTGGGTGATGTAATGTTCACTTAGTGTAAAATGAAATTGATAAGTATAATTGTAGTTATTAGAAGTAAAGTCAATAATTTATAATGTGAAAAGGGCACCTTTACAGTAATGAATTCTTGCATTTGTTACATTTGCAGCAGCTGTAAATGTATTTAATTAGCAGGTAAGGCCATTAATGTAACGTAGCATAAAATAACATAGAACTGAACGAATAGAGAATGTGCATTAAACATGAACTAGCCTTTTATGAGATTGTGGTAACCTGTCATTGACGGCAAAGGGTTGATTGTTTACAAATGTCTGTGATAAGTTAGATTTACGTCCTTAACAGCTGCTCACATACTGTTACAGTGGGTTGAGGAAGAAAGCTTTTGTTCACATGCCATCCTTACCAAACCTGGATCTGCAGAAATCTGGTGATGGGGTATGTGTCGTCTTAAAGATCATTTCCATAATTCTAATGATATTTATATATTTGTTCTCCTAAACTAAGGAGATGCTCATTCACCTGTTGTTCACTGTCTGTCTGACTCCAGTGTGAGCTGATGGAGCCCACGGGCCAGTCGCCGAGTGCTGAAGATGAAATGAGGTCTGCGGCCTGTGGGCTGGTGTGTGAGTGGGCGCAGAAGGTTCTGAGTCGTCAGTTTGACAACGTGGAGGACCTGGCCCGCTTCTTGCTCAATAGCCATTACATTGGTACCAAGTCTGTGGCAGCCCTCACTGTTATGACTGGAACACCCACAGGTAAATGTTTTTTTGTGCTATTCTGTTGCCTGTGTTTTCATACAAATTTGTGATGAAAATAGTTTGTCTGTTATTTGCTAAATAAAGAAACTCTAGAAAGCTAATCTCCAAGTAGTATTTGTGGAAATATCTATTTTATTGCTAGCAGCTGCCTTGGAAAATAAAACAGTTGCTTCATAACACAGAAAACCACTTTTTTTTGACAAGAACGGAGCAGTCGGCATTTTCGCACTTGACCATTTTCTAAATGCCTTTCTGTGATGCTGCAAGTTTATTTGACCTCATTTCTTTGGGTTTTTCCACATTTAACAGGAATGAAGACACCGACTCCTTCTGCGTTTGTTCCGACGGCTGAGGCCAACACTTTCCAGCCGCAGGTGAAGACCCTGCCCTCTCCTTCTGTCGATGCAAAGCAGCAACTGCAGCGCAAGATCCAGAAGAAGCAACAGGAGCAGAAGCTCCACTCACCCCTGCCCAGTGAAACCCAGGTCAAGAGAGCAGAGGCCAGTACGCCTGGTCCCACCATCCCTAGTGGTAGTCCAGCACTGCTGTCCCCTCAACCAACCATTGGAATCGTAGTAGCAGCCGTCCCCAGTCCAGTAACAGTACGTTGCAGACTCTCTCCTACTTTGTAATATATTGTAAAATGTATCTAAAGTGTGACATGTTATTGTTGTTTGTCTCCCAGGTGCAGAGAAGCAGGCAGTTGATGACCTCACCCAGCCCTGTGGGGACAGCAGAGGGAAAGGTGATGAACTTCCAAGTGGTCACTCAGTCTCTTAAACAGTCTCCCAAAACTCCTCAGAATATTTCAGCTAGTCCCGTGGGTGACCGACTGGCACGGCACAGTACCCGTTACGCTCAGATCCTGCCCAAGCCCTCTGCTTCTAGTGCCATCACACTGCGCTCACAACAAACCCTGCTCATCACCAACAGCCCCATAAAAACTGTGATGCCCACTTCTCACGTGAGCTCAGTCAATGTGGTGAAGATGACGGCAATCGCACTGGCCCCCAGCAGCAGCAGTAACAACAGCACCACTACTGTGCGCCCAGCGTCGACAGGTGTGACCACCATGGCTGCTTCAGATGATTCCCAACAATTCCAAGGGATGCATTCAGCTCCTCCTCAGTCTCCTGCAGTCAAGACCAGTGCTCCATCTTCCACTCTGACTTTCTCCACTGATATTAAAGTAGTGTCGGATGCTGGGAAAGACAATAACAGTACTGTGTCGAACACAGAAAGATCTGCTGCTGAGGTCAAAGAGGAGAGAGTTGCCAAGTTCAGGGCTGCCAGTGAGCCAAACTTCCTGGTGAAGTGTTCTCTGGGACCAGATAAAGGATTTAGAGTGAAAAATGAAGTCACATCTTCCTCTTCACTGGTGGCTGTAGCTGGGACTCAGGACAGCAATAACAGTAACTGTAATGACAGTACTTTATACTTGACTGTTGATAATCAGAACGCCAGTAGTAACTCGACATCTAATGGGTCTTCTGCTGTTGCCACTGTATCAAAGGATCTTTGCCTCGATGGTAAGAGCCCCAGAAAGCGTACAGGCCCGGGCGGGGAGTCCCACGTGATTCCTGTGAAGAGGGTGTTCATCTCCCAGCAGCCACTGGCTGTAGTTGACAATCTAAAACCTGGTCTTAATGCTGCAGTCAAAAGGATTCCCCGACTAGGAACGCCTGCCAGACCAGAGAGTGCCCCCTGCAAAGTGACTGTGAAACACACACCCATAGGGCCCACGCAGATCCTTGCACTCTCCGATTCACCCATCACACTCACTAAGGGCTCACAGACTGTTGTCAAACCCAAGCCCTTGGTGGCAAAGCGTGAAGACCATTCTCTTAGCACTGACACCAGCACTGCAGCCACTGAGAACAACCCATCTGATCAGGTGTTGCTACAGCAGATCACTGGGGACCCTCGTGCCATACCAGCCAACTCAGGAGCACATGAACCCTCTGTGATGAGTGACATAAAGAGCACAATATGGGAGGAGGGACAGCTTGATGAGCTTCGAAAGCAGACTTTTGCTCAGCAGATACCAGCAGACCACAAACAAGCCCCCACTGACCAACTTTCAATTATAGCTCAAACCCCTGAGACCTCAGGCCAGCTTTCCCTCACACAGGAGATGGTAGACTTTGCAGGTTCTCAGCCCAGCATGGACTACTTCCATTTTAATGACGATGACATGACCCAGGACAGCATTGTGGAAGAGCTTGTCCAAATGGAGGAGCAAATGAAGCTGAAGGGTTTGTTTAGTAGCTGTGTTGACGTGTCTCTACAAGGCCAGTCCGCCAACAACCAAGGCTCTATCCTGAATGCCCACCAGGCCAGCACTACTTTCTACCACTCTGCGCACAGTAGTACCACTCCTGTCCAGACTCCCACTCCAACACCGACCCCAACACCAACGCCCACGCCCACGTCTGAAATGATACCCAGGCACAACCTGACAAGAGAGAGCCCCTGCTCTCGCATGGCTCCCATCACCCCTGTGGATGGAGCCATGGGTCGCCACACCCCCATCAGCACGCCTCTGTCCAACAGCAGCAGTGTCCCACCAAGCCCAGTGGAGTGCAGGAACCCGTTTGCTTTCACTCCCATCAACTCCAGTATCACAGGTTATCATGATGCCAGTATTGTCTCCAGTAGCCCTGTTAAGCCCATGCAGAGACCCATGGCTACGCACCCTGACAAGGCCAAGCTCGAGTGGATCAACAACCGCTACAACAGCAACCCTGGAACCCCGCTCTCCAACCATAGCATTGGTATATTGCCAAGTTACCAGGACTTGGTTGATGACCAGTTCCGTAAGCCTCATGCTTTTGCAATCCCCAGCCAGTCATTTCAGGCACAGGCGAGACAAGACGCTGCTCAGTTTGGACGCTTGACTCCCATTTCTCCCGTGCAGCAACAGCAGCAACAACAAACACCACAGCAACAGCAGTCACCCCAGCAGCAGCAACAGCAGCAACAACAAACCCCACAGCAACAGCAGCCCCCTCACCAGCAGCAGCAGCAGCAGCTGGCAACAGGTGTAACTACAGGTGTAACTACTCCCACCAAACAGGAAAGCTTTGCTGTGCCAGCACCGTTAGACAATAAAGCATCAACCCCCTCCGCATCCGGAACTTTCCGTTGCCGCAGCGTTAGCCCTGCAGTGCGCCAGAGAAACTTTAGTGGCAATTCAGGCACCCAGACAACCACCACAAATACTACCGCCACCGCTCGTGCTGTGATTTCTCCCTTTAACTCCCCCATCACCTCCGAGGTGCTCAGTATCCTGTCCAACACGCAGACAGTCAACACTGTCCACAGCATGGCCCAGCGTAGTCAGTCTGTTCCTCTGAACATCATGATGCAGAGTGAGATGCTGCCTGTGCAGGGGCAGAGCAACACGACTAAAATCACCAATGTACTTCTCAGCAAAATGGAAGCTGACGGGGATGATTCTGTCCGTGGGCTGGGCATTAACAACCTCCCTGCTAACTATACAGCCCGTATGAACCTCACACAGATTCTGGAGACGACCGCTGGCTTCACTGGAGGAACTGCTCACCAAACTTCCCTGCCTGTTGGTTCTAGCCCTGCTGCTTTTGAGCTCCAGCAGCACGGCTTCCTGACAACTGCCAGTGGAGAACAGGTGAGTTTCACTACCGCGGACAGCCAAGCACAAGCTGGTCCTAGTGAGCAGGACCAGCCACAGCAGCTCCAGGAGAATCAAACACAACCCCAGCTCCTCCTTCAGAGCACACAACAGCAGGAGGTTGAGGATGAGCAACAACAGCTGGATTTCAACAACACTGTTAAGGACCTGTTGGGTGACGATGGTCTGAACCCCAGTTCCCAGTTGGTGGGTCAGGTGGCTTCAGAGTTAAACGCCGTGGCGTCTGACTTCTCAAATGACATCAGACTGACCTCAGATCTGTCCAGTAGCATCACTGATCTTAACACATTGGACACCAACCTGCTGTTTGACCCAAATCAACAGCAGGAACAATATGAAGATTCTACACTGGAAGAATTGAAGAATGACCCACTTTTCCAGCAGATCTGCGGTGAAACTGTGAACTCTGGTTTCGACTGGCTAGAAAGCAAAGACCAGCCGACCACAGTGGAGATGCTGGGCTAATGTTATCTTTTACTCTGTTTGATTTCTGTTGTCTGTTTGGTGCATACATATTATATCTGTTCTTAAAAGTATAGTTTGTCAGGATTTGTCTGGACTTTGCCATTCGTTCTGTTTGAAGTGCCCGGCTTACCAGAAAATCTCTCCTACTGAGGTTCACTTACTCCTCTCCCTGTTTTTCATCACTCAGTCACTGTATAACCACGTATCTTCATGAATTCAGAAATGTAATTCATTGACTCAAAAGTCTGCGTACTCGGTGGCAGCATGCACTTACAAGAGCCGACAATTGTAGAAAGAGCATACCGAGAAGCGTCATCTTCCAACAAAACAATAATGCAATATTTGTATTTATTCAAAATGTCACAAAATGAGGGACAGGGAATTTGGCACAAAAGGCATGAGCTGTTGTCTACTATTTTCACCAAATAGAGGCATGATAGGGATTGTAGTATATAAACATACTAGTTGTAGTGCATTTGCCTGTCATATCTCACTGTAAAAATAGGCGGCATTTCAATGCGGCCAGGTGCTGAATTATGACATAATATTTATACCTTAATACATACCAAATTGGTGAGAAACTGATTCACACATGAGCATTGTCAAAAAGTGATTTTCTTTTTTTTGCCTAAAAGCTACTTCTTGTGCTGTTTAATATCATACAAAGGGAGTAAATGAATCAGTAGGGAGACAATGGGAATTTAGGCCTCTGTGGACGTAACATTGAATGGAATCAACAACTGGCTGCCTTATTCCAAGTCCAAGGCCTAATTCTATCCTAAAGAGACTGTATATAGTTTAATCTTAAGATGTCTTCAGAACCATCCAGAGCTTCATCATATCAAGGCAGCTGTTACTGTGAGTTTTTCAGTACTCTTTCTTATTCTGTTCTTGTTTTGCAGTTATATTATAAACACATATTGCATATTCGAATGACTACACCCTGTGTTTTCCATCATCGATGGATTTAAAGGAATTTCTTCTACTGTTGTGACACATAATAGATTTTTATTGGCATGTTTTTCTCCCGTCTTGGACAGGGATGTGAGTGGTATGGAAAAGGCTAAGTAACAAAAAAAAGCTAAAGGCTGATGTGGTTGTCTTTTTGATGTCATTTTGAGATCAAGTAGATGTGAGATAGTCTTTGTGGAGATCTAGCCTTATGTCCATGCCAAAGATTTGTCTGATTAACATACAAAATTATCACACTCCTGGGAAACGTTGAGAAGAGCTGAAAAAAAAGAAAATTGTGTCTGAGAGATATTGCATTTTACAAAAAAAAAAAGAATAAGTTGCATTAACCTTAATGTACAGTGTGTAAATTTGGGAAATGGTCACAGTCCTATGTTTCATAGGTAACGATGGACCCGAAAGCATGTTGAAACCATCATTGCTAGCCAGGTAGGCTATGTGATACAGTAGGATGCTTGCTTAAGTTTTTGGCTATTGTCAATGTTGTATAAGTCATGTTTAAGCTCCATTTGTAAATAGATTAGATACATAGAGATGTGATGTATCAGGACACTATATTATGGCCATTATCCTAGCTAAGTATGTGCCATTTAAAAGAATAACAGGCTTAACAGATCTATAGTCGGCAAAAGATACTGTATGTTGTGTGTTACATTTCTGGATCAATGTCGTAAGAGTAATGCTGTCTGGTCTCGCTTGCTAATTTTTATTTTCAGTTCAGAGATATTAGGTCTCTGCAGTTGCAGAAGTTATGTGGTTTGAGCAAGATCGATAGCATGGTTTAAAAAAAAAAGTTGTGATACTGTTCAGCTGGTTGCAAACATCTTTGTGACAGACATTGTGCTCAAAGCGTCAGCAGACACTGGAGAAAAAAACATATGTGTTTCAACAAACTATGGAGGTTCACATAATTGCACTAAATTTTTATGACACATCTTTATGGACAAATGTAATATTGATGAATGCCCCTTGTTTAAAAAAAGGCAAGATGAGAATGGAAATTAAGTGAATTGTCAGAAAATGACCAATTGTCTTGTAGCAAAATGTGCATTAATCTCAGTGAGATACACATTTCTTACTCATTCTCATACAGGAGAATATAAAGCATCGGGGCGGGGGGGTCAATAACCTTTGAAAACCTACATGCTCATTATGTTAAAAACTGATTGTACGCACGCATGTGTGATGACTTTTGTTGTACTTTGTATTCTTGGTAACCACTGTCTTCTGTAATTTGGGCAGGTTCTGTTAAACCAGACTGGCAGTGCTAGTTGTATGAGTTACATTACAATGTTGTTGCTGTTTACTAAGTTAATGTTGTTCCGTATGTTTTTGTTGATGGTTGTTTTATGTTGATTTTACATTTTCTTATTTTGTTAAATGCATTTTATGAAAAAAAAAACTCTCTCTTTTTTTTATCAATGAGGCACTGATTTTTCAATATAAATGAAGGAACTGCACCTCTTAATGTGCCCAGGAGCTCCATCAAGTGGTGGCAGATTCTACACCTTTGACTGACATGGAACCAACTTTGTTTGATTATATTGTCCATTTCTACCAGTTAAAAAAAGACCCTTCTCTGTGGTGTTGTCTGGTGTACTGCTTAATGTACAGTAGCTTGTTAATATTGCAAACTTGTTGTTTCTTTTTTCAATGGAAAGTACTCACTGGTGAGATTTTTAAAGTGGTTTTAAAAGCCAATAAACTTTTTTAAAGAATGTTTCTGTGTTTTAGGATTTGTATTTCATTACATGTAATACAGAGTCCCAGAAAGTGAATTTACAGGTTTAAAAAATGATGAATTACAGTTATAATTATTGATATTTTATTTGATTTGTGAATTACAAGTACATTAAGTACATGTGTGGTACTTTTTTTTTTTCAATTTAAGGAAGTAGTAGAACATCTGTCTTTAATACAAAGTTAAAATGACATTTTCCCAAATAAGCTAACAGGCAAAGGCGGTCCTCACTTTCAGAGGTTAGAAAAAAAACTACCAGAAACAGTGAGAAATGAAAGTGAAAAAAAAAGTTTTAGTCATTTATTCATTTTTATTTTCTCTACCTTATCTTTACCTAACAGTGTGTTTTTGTTTATATATTCATTTAATGGGCTACACATCTATATTTTAGCACTGAATTCCATGCAAAATCAAAACCTTTCCATCACCGTCTTAACACAAGGTCAGAGGTCATTTACTCCACAAACGACCTCTAGGGTCATTGGGGGTGTCCTCTCCTAGAGACACACTGCAGCCAATCAGAATCCAGCTCAGCGGCCCTCTGTTCAGCTTTCCCAGGGCCTGGTGATATTTAAAACATGTTAATGACCTTAACCCTATTGATCATGGCCAGGCCAGCAATATCCTCGACCTCAACCTCCACAAAAAAAACGTTTGTCAACATGAGTCAACAAAAAAGATCTGGTTTCTTTTTTGTTGTTATTATATTAGCAATCATAGGGTGACACCGCACATGATTAAAATATGTTGGGTTTTTTTTTTGGGGGGGGGGGTTGTGGTTTGTGCTCACTGTTGTCTATAAATAGAAACATTCTATCTGTAAAAACAAATACAGAAACAACTTTATGACGTAGTCTTTTTGCAGCACTCCAATGGCATTGTAAGACATTTTGAAGAGACTATTCATTGGAATTTGTGTCAATTATGGTCACATTTGTGTCTTTTTGTCATTCAGCATCAGACTCTTCTTTAAACAAACCTGATACGAAATATTTTAAAATAATCTTAATTTTTCTAACGAGTAAAAAATACATGATACTTTTTATCGAACTTTGGTTGCGACTTTGCATTGAATAATAACAGTATATAAAGCTCTTGATGGCTAAATCAATAGTTAGTTCTAATCAATACATAATTACACTTGGCTCTTCTCCTTTGATTAGTTATTGGAGTGCGGAGGTGCAGGTTTGTGGCAATAAAAAAAAATTAAACTCACTCATTTGTTATTATTATCACTGAGAAAGTCACATATAAAGTCTACAGTAATTTTGGGGCACAGCACCTCTCCCACCACTGTGATGACTGACTTTAACTGTACCAGGCATATGGTTGTTTTGCTGATGCAGCATGGTCGACCTCACAGCTGGAGCCCATTGTGCTGCTGCTGAATGAGAGCCGGGGGATGAGAGGGTCATTGTCAAAAGGCACGGTCACCGGATCAATATCTGAATTCATTAGGCAGCTGACTTCAAGCCATCAATACCTCTTTATAATGACCAGTTTTTGGAGAAGGAACAGATGCCATTTGGTGTGGCATTATTACTAGTGGTATTGAAAACTGATAATTTACAGTGTTTGTCTATTTTTATTTTCTTTATAAGAAAGAATTGAGAAGGTCTAGGTCTGTGGGGTTCTAACATGGGTCAGTAAGAACTGCCGAAAAAGCTTAAAAAGTTCCATGTTGTGACAAAATATATGTGCACACAAGATTTTTCAAACATGGAAAATCAAAGGCTTACTATGTGCTGGTCAGTCTTGTTATGTGTTTTGTAGATGGAGAATATTAAATCAAGAATGGTTGAGACCACAACTGGTAAATCTATATTAATGATTGTTGAGGACAGTCTGCCTTCCAAGTATTAGAAGCTGTCTGTAGATTGTGATTGTCAACAGTTTCTCTCTTTTATGTGGACTACAATATTCTATTTGAAGCTGAGGAGAAGCTGTGTGTTTGCACAAGTGGAGTTTCTGCTGACGTGTTTGTCAGGAGGTTTGCTTAGCTAACCACAAAGACTTCATTTGCCCAATAACATTTAATAACACATAAAGAGACTGACTTGAATATACTGTCCATCTTTAAAGTCCTGGTCTCAGTTGTCTGCGCTGTTGTTCAAAACAACGTCGTTCTCTGTGTGCTCTCAACTACTGCTAAATCTAAATGCACATTAAACAGGGTGAGTGGAATTAGGTGTAAATGGGATAGGTTAGAGTTTAGGTTAAGGTTGGGTTAGGTTTAGGTTTATTATAGGAATTATAGTTTGAAATTATAGTTACAGTAGGGTTAGGGTTATGGGTTAGGATTAAAATGATATATTAGATGAAAGATGTGTATATTTAAGTATGAGAGGTTTGAAATACAGTAAAGACAATTTGCTATGTCATTTCTTTTAAAACATCTACGATATAGTTTGGTTTTTTGTGTACACAAATGTACTGTACTGACAACAGGTCTCTTTAATGACGGAAAAATAATTAATATCAAATTTTGCGATGTCTATGATGAAGTATAGGTCACAGTTTTACAATCAGAACAGCCATTTATAGCCACTATTTTGCACAGTCAACACTTCACAGAAATGGTTCTGTGTTGAAGGAGAACTGAAATGCATATTTTAAATGTTACATTAGCCATCTGAATGAAGCCAATCAAAAGTTCAGTATTCTTCAACACAAATGTTATCTTCTTTTTGCAATTTTTTTGCAAAACATTTCTAGACTCTTGTTCTCTCTCTCACCACCTCTCTCCGTCTACCTCTCTCTCTCATTTCACGGGCAGCAAAAGCGCATGCGTCAGAAGGCGGGAGCGGGGCCCCGGCTTCTGGTGGAATAGCCACTTCTCCCCATCCTCTTTAACTTCATTATTGGGGATCTACACACAGCACGCGGCCAACCGGCGGAGCTGCGGTGCTGGAAAATGAGACACCGGAGCGGATAAATGGCTAAGTTTAAGATGAAAGTCTGCCGGCAGTGGCTGCTTTTTGTTTTATTTCTCCCTTTATCGGGTAAGTGTCTTGTTTAATTGTTGTTTAATTGTTAGTTTTCGGTTGAAACGTACAGGGACCAGAAAGTGTTATTGTTATCTACGACGACAGACGTATCCTGGACGTTATCTCTTTAACTATTGTTGCAGAGCAACGTCATAAACAGCGTAACAATGTGTGTTTGGTTAATGATGTTTAAGTTGAATCTTCGTCCTCAGGTGCTGCAAATCAGTCTCCATAGTTGTTAAGTTGTTAATGTTATGGATGCTGAAGATGAACAGCACTCACCAAATATCAGGAGAGAGCGGTGGTAAACGTAATTCTGGGAAAATTATATGTTTTACTCATTGTCGTATCGTAATTGCACGTAACCAAATAACAAATGTATTACTTGCATGTTTTTAAAGACCTCAACTTTTATTACAATATTAAATAATCACCACTATAACAGAACCACGCAACTATAACACAGCTTTTTAACTGTAATTGATAATTGACAGATTCTTTTAAGTTAGTTTTTTCTTAAATAAAACAATTGCTCTTTATTTGGCACTCACTGTGATAATGTATTGTGCTCTTTGCTCATTGGTGGCATTAAACGTTTAACCTTTGGTTCATGGAGAAGATAATAAATATTTGAGACTAGACTTCTATTGACATTTTGCATTATTTCCTGCAATTATGGAACAAATGAATACTTTAGGTAATGAATAAACATCTGGATATATATTTGCCCTTTATACATATTGTAATGTCAATTTTAAGTGATGTAATGTGCACTTCATGATGTTAAAAATATGTTTATTGTAGATACAGGTTATATATACAATATTTATATTTTTATTACTACACCATTACCCTAAGATTGAATCTTCCCTTTGTTTCCTCTCAGGTGTTTTATGTTTCAGTGAGTTGTCCTTCATCACGGAGCCCAGTGATGTTACTGTACTACCAAAGGACCCGGCTGTCTTGGACTGTCAGGCTCATGGGCTGCCTCCAGTCACCATCAAGTGGCTGAAAAATGGAGTTCGGCTGACAGAGAGCGAGCACATAAAGTTCCTGTCAAATGGCTCTTTGCACATACCAAAAATAAAGCATACCAAGGAGGATTCAGATGAAGGGTTCTACCAGTGCCTCTCCCAGAACAAATACGGAGCTATCCTAAGCCAAAGATCATGCCTGACTATCCCAAGTAAGTATGGAGAAAATATTGAAAGGAATTCTGTGGAGCTTGAGTAGGCTTTGTGTCATTTTTCTCCTACCAAGATGAAATTGAAGGTCTCTGTGATATGTACTGTGTGGTTTCATGGTGAAGGCATTAGAATAGCAAGTTCATGGGTTATTAACCTGGAGATGGGAAGCAGATGTCTCAAACTTTTTCTTCCCAGAGTTAAAGGTAACCCTCATAGTGGAAGACTGGGCAGGCTGGCCATGCCTGTGTTTAAAGCTGTCACTCCAGTTATCGGGACATTTTAAGAGACAGTTAAAGATAGATGGCAAGTCTATCTAAACGCTCATAAATACTGTGTAAATGGACAGCCCTGGGCTTGGATGCAATATCCTTTTCCTTGTTTTGAGGAAATGTACCACTTGACAGGAACTGGCTAAAACGAAGAAATTGACCTTCTCCCTTGTGTATGGTGATGGGATTGTCTCTGAAAACTTTGGTTGTTTGATTGCTGAATGGTCTGCTACACAGAGGAATCTCTAAAAGGCCATTGGTCTTTGAGCCATTGTTTGGAGTGGCCCTGACTGCCCCAGAAGAATAGGGTTGGTTTCCAGAGCATTTGTTTGTCCACTTATCAGTGGACAGGACAGCTGTGTCTGTTCTCTGTGCCTGGTCTGCCATGGTCACAGATCTGAGAAGTGACATCTACTACTCAAAATATCTAACTTTGACAATGACTCAGAAGGATTGTTTTGGCAGTATACCCTCAGACCCACCAGTACTATATTGTTTTGAACTAGTACTTATTACTATATTTTATATATTACAAAAAAAACATCTTTCTTGTTGTATCACCTTTGACACAGTTGTTTTCACTGAAATGTTTGTTAAAGGAGATTTTTTATTTATTTAAACATATCCCACAAGAATCCTTAAAAGTCAAGGTTGATCTGTGGTCCAGTCGTTGTCAGTTAAAGGGTTAAAGGTTTTTGGTCAGCTGTAGGCGGAGAGTGGAGGAAGGGCCTCTTCTGCCGTTCCCCTTCTGTCCAGAGGTCCTGGGGGTCAGAGGTGAGGTGGGAAAGGCTTTGTGATGTCATAGTCCTACTCTGCCGGGGCTGTCCTGCTGTTCTGTCCTCAAGCCCACGATTCTTTTCACTGCAGCAGTCCCTCTGTTGGCCTGTCAGGCCTTTTGTTAAGGAAAGGTGAAAGTGATGGAAAAGACCTAATATCCCACAATGTTATTCACAGCCTTGGTCTTTGGACGCCATGTTCACATTCAATGTTGAAGGAATGAAAACCTTAGTGAAAGTTTAAACACTACACTTAAATTAACATGCAACATAGTGCACAGTATATAGTGCAGTCCAATCCAAACACAACACTTGTGTTAGTAAATTGTAAATGTAGGAAAATATTTTCCTCTTCGAGTTGTATTTAATCATTTTTTTTCACCCATGGCATTTGTTTGAGGTTATAAATAATATAATATTCACCGGGCTGTGGTTAGTGGACTTAAGGTAAACGTGTTTCGATTTCACATCTAGTTTGGGCTAAAATTGAATGCACAGAGGGCTGAGGTGAACTCTGACCTCTTTGGAGGAACCTTTGTGACCACTGACCCAGACATTGATCTGTGCTTTACAACAGTGGTGACCAAATTAGCTGCTTGGTCCATGCAGGCTACACCCACCATCTACATATATCTGTTCCCAGCATCAGTGAAGGTGGCCTACGGTTATTATCTTTTACCCAGATAACAGCTTGTTTTGATGTCTTTACAGGCAACAAAACCTACATACCAATCACAAGGCCTGGAATGATTTACATAATTATTGAGACTAATTCCATTCCAAATAAAAGGAAAAATATTTCTGATGTAGCTTTGAATATTTTTGAAACAATTCCATTGCTTTTACTTTAAAATATTGTATTAGTCAACAAAACTGGAACGCATAACTCTAACACTAGTCGACTAGTCAAGTTTCAACCTTAAAGCAAAACATTTAGCACAGCAAAAAAACAACATAGTGCAATAATTGATTCTGGTGTGAACTTTACATAGACAGGGTTTAAATGTGTAATATTGATGAGGTTGGGTCCTAAATTAAAGAATTGCTCTTCAGTTTGGAAATTTGAATCTTTGGATTAGAAAATGGGGTTTCAGTGGGAGAACAGGGAATTGATTTCCTTTAACATGATATTGACTTCCTTCCTGTGAGTGAGGGGGTGGGGGAAGAGTTATCACCTTAATGAAGGAAGGTCACTGTTTATATCTGATAGAGCAACTCCATATTTTGCAGATAAATGGATTCTAAAAAGTAATCATTGAAAGACACTGCGTGTACACAAATATGAGTTTTACTCAGCAAAAATCAGCAAAGCTAGCTAGATAGATAGATGGATGGATAGATAGATAGATAGAGAGATAGATAGATGGATAGATAGATAGATAGGTGGATGGATAGACAGATGGATAGACAGATAGATAAGCAATATATTCTACATTCTTTGGACAGAATTCCTCTTTTTTTAACCTCATGGCTGTAGAATATGTGTAACATAACATGACCAAAATTCAATATTTCACTCATCTCTCTTCATCAGTGACTGCTGTATGACCTAGATTTCCTTTTATATCACAATATTGCTTAAGGCACGTTTACTTGGGAGTATTTGCTTATAGCCCTTCTTATGCAAAGCATATTGATTGGGCTCTTTCTATAACAATGCATCATTCAGTACCATTCTTCAATTGATTGGATTGATTGGACCAGCTGGTCAGTACTAGTCTGCTGGCCTATCTGGACAAAGGCAAGATCACAGATGATTCCAAAGATCAATACCTTTCATATAAACAGTTAACATCCATCAAAGTCAGTGCTCTGCATGCATAATACTGTATATAATATGATTTTACAGAAGTGAAAGAAACTGCTCGTATTTAGTTTGTCACAAACACCAGTGCAATATTTTTATATATGAACAATCAAGGTGAAAGATGGACTTGTGTGCTGGCCCCATGTAAACATCATATGAATTGCCTGTATGTCTGTATAGGGTGACAAGGTCAAATGTGTTACCTTGGCGCCCGTGTAGCGAAAGGGTTGAGTCCACTGGTAAAGTGTGAGCCTGAGAATACTTTCTATCAAGTAGTACTTCTTGTTTGTTTAAGTCTTGCTCGTCTCCTGTTTGTCCTCCTGATTTTGCTCATCAGAGTATTTTTTTGTCCACAGCTATTTCTGAGTTTATTTTGCATCCTGTGCCTGTTGTGGTGATTGAAGGGTCAGTGGCAAGATTCTCTTGTGCAGTCACCTCCAACCCCCCTGCAACCATCACTTGGGAGCTCAACCAAAGCACATTACCACTCCGGACAGACAGGTACCTGCAGGTGTCTATGAATAGTTTGACAAAAATCCATTCTTTTATCATTTTAACTAAATGATGTGTTATCTGTGTGTGTTTTAGACTTACAGTTTTACCAAATGGAGTTCTGCAGATTCATAATGTTCAACTTGAAGATGCCGGGCAGTACCGATGTGTGGCAACTAACATTGGTAGCAGTATGAAGAGTAGAGAAGCATCACTTATAGTTAACACGGGTGAGTGCAGGACAGTAAACTGTTATGTTGACTAAGTTTTAATGCATTTTAAATAAAAATAATTATCTTTTCTTTCCCGGTGAAGTTGCTGTTCCTAAGTCACGACAGAGGCCCAAAATCATTGCCGGTCCTCAGAATGTCACAGCTTCACTTCACCAAACTGTAGTGCTGGAGTGTATGGCCACAGGAAACCCCTGGCCCATCATCTCCTGGAGCAGAGCTGATAGTAAAGCCATCGATGTGTACAATGCCAAAGTGCTGGGTAATGGTAACCTGGTTATCACTGATGTCAGCTCCAAGCACAGTGGTGTCTACCTCTGCAGGGCCACCACTCCTGGAACCCGCAACTACACCATCGCTGCAGCCAACATAACAGTTCTAGGTACTTTTGTCACATGTATAGTTGCAGCACGTGCTATATGTGTTCACACGGCGTATATCTTATAATATGTTTTTTTCATAAGTGTTTAATAAAATCAGAAATTGTGCATAAGGTTTGTTTTTTAATTACTTTTCAGTTCCACCAACTATTGTTGAAAAGCCTGAAAGCCAGACCCGTCCTAGAGCTGGCACTGCCAGGTTCATGTGTCAGGCAGAAGGAGTGCCTTCACCCCGCATCAGTTGGCTCAAGAATGGAGAAGAGGTTCACCTAAATGGAAGAATAAAAATGTATAACAGGTATTGTACAACTCACTCACAAAAGTATTTCAAACTAACTTATTACTTATTAGTAACTCATGTATTGATTTTGGTATGTTTCTTTCTTGGTTCACAGTAAATTGGTTATAACCCAGATCATCCCTGAGGATGATGCCATCTATCAGTGTATTGCAGAGAATGAACAGGGCTCGGTGTTGTCAGTGGCTCGCCTTATTGTTGTCATGTCCGAGGACAGACCCAGTGCACCCAGAAACATCCATGCTGAGACCATCTCCAGCTCTGCTATCCTGCTGGCCTGGGAGAGGCCCCTGTACAATGCAGACAAAGTTATTGCCTACTCCATACATTATATGAAGGCTGAAGGTAAGAAAAGTTAACAGAGAGAATTTCCACTTAGTATGTTGTGCCTTTTACAAAACGATTACAAACCAGGTGAAATTTGAGTAAGTAATTATAAAATGAAGCAACCTCACTGTGTCACACGTGGTTAGCTTGTCATGGTGAAGAACATCTGTTGATGCTGCACAAAGCAGAGGTTAAAGACTATTCAGAACGGCAACCCCTAAAATAACAGAGGCTCAGCTAAACCATTGTGTGGCCCCAACTCATTCTTTATGCAGTTAAAGGGACATGGTTGAATTTTCAGGTCTTCCAAACTGAGCACTATAAAGAAATATAAATATATATATATAAGTCAAGCCTATGTAGTATGTAGTAAACATGTCATTATCTGTTAAACTGCCTGTTATAAGTTTCCTCAGCTTAACTAGTTTTCTGCTTTGTTGCCTTTCAGGACTGAACAACGAAGAATACCAAGTTGTTATTGGCAATGACACCACCAGTTACATTATTGATGACCTCGAGTCAGCCCGAAACTACAGCTTTTACGTTGTGGCTTACATGCCAATGGGAGCCAGTCGTATGTCCGACCAAGTCAGTCAACATACCCTGGAGGATGGTAAGCATGGAGACTCCCAGCATTCCTCGCAGTAAATCACTTTGATAGTTAAGCTAACATGCATGCAAGGGATGTGTGCTGAGAGGAGACTCTGAGTGGAAGTCAGGGGGGGCAAGTATTCTTTCATGTGCACATTCTTTCTCCCTTTATCTGCTGTCTAACAGTAGTTTATTGATAAAGGTAGGCCTGTCCTGGTTCTGTTGTGAAGAAATTTATTGCCACACCAGTGTCAAGCAAACTTGTGATAAACTGTTCTCTTCTGTGCACAGTACCTTTGCGTACCCCAGAGCTGAGTCTCAGCAGCCACAGCTCCACTGACATCCAGGTTAGCTGGCAGCCTCTGCCAGCCAAGATAAGCCGAGGTCAAGTGTCTGCGTACAGACTGTCCTATCGTACAGCGACGGACAACACAGTCACCTCTGTGGAGCTGCCTCAGAACAACACCAAGTATCTGCTGGACAACTTACAGCCTGATACCATCTACCTGCTTCGTATCGCTGCATCCACCCGTGTAGGCTGGTGCGAGCCTTCAGCTTGGACATCTCACCGCACACCTAAGGCCTCCAGCAACAAAGGTACCGGTGCAGAGAAATTTAATGGAAAACTGTTGGAGGAGATGGTGATGGTGGATCACAGAGAAAATTTGGTCCCAGACAATTTGAATGTGTCCAAAGAGGCCCATGTTTGGGCCAGTACTGCTGTAGCTCTCTTTTATTTACAGGTGTCACATGTTCATCTAACACATAAATAACACTGATATGGGCTTGTCCTGGACCTCAAATATTTTTTCTGCCTGGGATATAATTTTTCTCATTCTACTGCAGATGTTTTTTGTTAACTATGTTTTTGCGGATTTACATTTTAAAGTATTGATTTTGTTAGAAAATCTTTGGGTTCTGGCTTTAGAGGGGTATATGACCCTGTAGTAGAGGATCGATTACTGGCTGTTCTTTTGCTTTTGTCTCATTATTGCTTTTTTTGCACTTGGAATACCAAATACGTCTCTAGTGCTCACACAGAGTGGCCAGCTTAAGGGTAGAATTTGCTCTTGTAGCATTGTCCCACAGTCTTTGTGTTGGTTACCCAGGAACCTTTGCCCTCTGCTGTCAGGGATGTTAGGGCGGCCTCAGTCATGGGTCATAAAGAGAGGGCCTCAGGCGTCTGACAAGGACAGAGAATAGCCTTATTTCATGGCCCGGTGTGTTGGGGGAGGATGTTTGTCCTCTGAGGCTCTCCTTCTTCTTCTTGGAAGTTCAGTTTAACATTAAGATCTCAGAGTCTTCCACTTTTCCTGACTCCAGGTTAATGTGGCCACTAACTACCATATCAACAGCAGTCACTTTAAAGCCATGTAATATCATTTAGCAATTGTAAAGCTGGTGTGATGTGTTAGTTTTCCTTCATCCCTGGAAACATTATAAATACAATTTTTTATTGATTGCTGTCTGCCCTTATTTCCAACCCAGTGCCTTCAGCGCCTGTTCTTCAACTTGAGCCGCTTAACTGCACCTCCATTGTGGCTCGCTGGCAAACTTCCGTGGACTCTGTGGTTGTCCAGGGATACCGGCTGTGTTACCATGAAGAAGGACAACCAGAGCAACCCAACATCCAGCTGCAGCCTCAGACCAACTCCTACACCATCAGTGGCCTTGGTAAGTGGTAAAAGTCCCCTGGTTTCAGTGGCATATAATAATGAAAACCAATATCTGAATGATATTGATCACTCAAATAACATGTGACAGTTTGTGTGTGCACTCAATATGGAAGCTTCATAAACACATGTCTAATTTTGGCCTGTTCTCGGTGGGCAGTTGGTTGCTGCATTTGCATTTTGGTCCTGGCTGACCCCTCTTGCCTATCCAGAAGCCCTCTCTAGTCTGGCTGCAGTATTGTGTAAGATCAGGGTTAGAGGTCAGGGTCCAGATGTCCCTCCCACCACAGTGTGCCATGCAGCAGTTTGCATAATTATCACTGGCCATTGTGTTGCATACAGGGCCAGACCCGTCCAATGAGACTCTGGTCACTACCTCCCTCCCCCCTAAAGTGGACACTGGAGCACAAAGGCACAGACTTTTGGGAGAGGCCAGAGCTTACCAGCCAATGACCTTTAGCCGTGGGACAGCAGACTTCTGTTCAGGACCAAGCTGCACCAGTGGTCCTTGCTGTCCATGTGAAAAACAGCCAAATATAGAT